ATTTTCATGAAACCTGCAGCAATGTACCAACCATTAGATATATCATCTTCAGAACTTTGGCAATTGATTTATTGATTACAGAATAATAATGCCTGAGCCCCTAGTAGTCAGGTATGAGTTAGTGATGTTCCCATCCTGGCATGTTGTCGTTACAGCGGTTCGTTTGCGGGGGTTAATTAGTCCTGGGGGCGTGGCCATACCAGAGGAGGCAGTCACGGTAATAAGCCAACATGTGTACACCCCCTACATAGTGCTGTGACCCTTACTGGGCGCCCTGGGGAGAACTGTCATTTGGAAGGCACCCAAGTCTGAGGCGAGATGTGTATCAGGGGGTACCTCGATCGTGTACAACTCACAGGTGAATTGTATCACACTGTTCGGAGCGAACAAGGCTCAGTAACAATGGGGAAGGAAGGTGAGGAATTTAGATGTGAATTGCAGTTACTGTATTTTAAATTTAGACAGAGAACAGTCTATTGTAAACCAACATTAGATTATGTCTTAGAATGGGTAGAATTGAGTACCACCTGGCAGTGCAGGTATGAAACAGTTCGTGCCCACCTGGAATGTTATCTCCAATTGTTTTACTTATAGCACAATTCTGGCTCTAGCTAATAGAGTAGTATGGTACAGACTTGTTGATCAGGGAAGAGAATTTTTCTAATTCTTTTTTAAATTTTTCCAGTTTCAAATTTGTACATTTTATGGAATGTGATAGTTATGAGCCAGCAGTCAGTGTAAAAAATGTACTGATGCTATAATTATTTGTAACTGAACAGTCAAAAGAAGATAATTATAGTGTCTGTTATTTATATATTACTGATCTAATCAGTGTTCAGAGTGCTCATGTCTTGTAATCAAGTGATTCAGAAGCTTTTTGTTAATTTCTCATCGTTCTTAAAAAATGTCAGTTATGCAACCTTAACTCTGCATATTACCTGCATGGAAAAAAGGACCTTTTTTTTTTAATCGAGGGGCATTCAAACAACCTGCCAGTCAGTTCTCTGTGGTACGTTTCTTTGTTCAGTTGCCCACATGTTGATTGATGTTCGGTGCTGCTGAGGCACAGGTCAGTAGTCTACTAACCACATTGTTCTTTGTTAAGGGGCGGATTATCGTTAAAACATGCAAGGACATCTTAAACCACAAATTAGGGGTTAGACCATATAATGAGAATTACAGTAATAGCCATCTAAATTAGGATATTTTGCAGATGTTTGATATAAATGTAACTTTTTTTTATATCTCTCTCACCAGGTTTGACAATATGCATTTTGAAACTATTTAGAATAATTATCTGTAGATGTACTCAAGTATTGGGGGCTCAAACATACATTATTCTGCCAATAAGTACCAGTTTTTAGCCTTAAGGAATAGGAACAGACATTTTGTTTTACAAACATCATTTCAAAACGCCCATTATCCCAATTGTCTTCCGGGCTATCTCTGTTGAATTTTTAATGATATTGAAAGGTTACTTCCCATTACTTCTCCAATACAGCAATTGTGTGACAAAACATGCCGCACAAAGCTGTTTTCTGTTGAGTGTAGGAACAGTTACTGTAAATACTGCAACGCCAATTTGCAATGTCAACGGCATCTTTTAAATTCAGAGATTGTTATCTATTCTCATTGAAACTGTCAACTACCTTCTGGAAGATATATTGATAGGATTGCTGCAGCATTTTGTTGAAGTTGGGTATCTGGCGTTGCAGGGACAAAATAATAAGTTTTGGTTGTCATATACATGGCATTAATGTATTAATCCTATAGTCCACAGTGACAGTGCAAAATTCCAGATCTTTATGTGTGCTCAGACACGTAGAACTAATGTGAGAGTCCCGGGCTGAACTTTTGACATGGCAGTTGAAAGGACCTCTGTATCGTCAATAACCAGGTCCCTGTCACCTGTCCTATTGTTCCAGCTATCCACCTGTCCGGGTGGGTATGGGACTAACAGAGCTGTCATTGTGTTCAGACCTCCCCTGGGGACTTGTGTCATCTCTCGAGTTACCCATTGTTCCAGTAGCGTCCCAGCATTCTCTGTGTATCAGTTTGAATCCTTTTTCCGTTGGAGGTTGTTTTGCGACGCCCTTTTAGACCAGATAGGGCGGGATCGTTGTGCCACTTTTGTGTGGTTGTGCTCATTACTTGTTTCTCTTGCAACAAGTTGTAACATCTGTGCCTGCGATGACAGCAGTGAAGCATGAGGGAGAGGATTTGATTCATCGGACAAGGAAGCCATCTTGAAAACCAAAATACCAGTGCATCGCATAATTACTGGGAAGGTACACCTGTTAGGTCAAATGCCTGGATTTGTGGGTGTGTATTCGTCTTTCTTTGTGTCTATTTTCCTGTGGTATGCTGCCCTTGTAACATATTTATACATGTCGTCCTTTCACGTACTCTTTGACTATACTGTGAACTGATGGCACGCCATAATCAAGGTGAACTACCAGATGTAGTACTGTTGTGGTTGTAGCTTAGAACATTGGGTCTTTGAAAGAGAACGGCTGAGAAAACTGCCCTTTCAAGGAGCCTGAATTGCAATGTCTTATTTTTATAATGGCAAAAGTTGCTGTTACTGTATTAGATGTTTATGGGTATGTTTGGAGACAGGTGTTTATTGCCTTGCACAGGTGTGCAGTTGGTACTTAAGGGTTGTGAAACAGGTAAATATAGAGGTAAACAAAATGTTCCACCAAAAGGTGGTTTTTTCTCAGTCCATATTTAAAAAGCGAGTTTGCAAAATGACAGTTTATACAGCTTGAATAATACAGACCTTATGGGGCATGTTGTCATTGTTTTGTTAACGAAGCGATGCCAGTTGTTCCTCAACATGCCGTATTAGGGTCAAGAACAATGGAGAAATTCCTGCCATAGTTCTCTGTCTGGAGGCCACTTAACATGTAAAACACCAAGCTCAAAAGTTATTAACATGTGTGCTCTGAATCTTCTGAATAAGTACGAAGATGTCCAATACCTTAAGGGTATTCACACGATGACGTGAATGTATTATCTGTTATATCTATGAGGAAGTTCTTGTTCAGGTAAATCAGTAGAGCAGAGATACTAGTATACTAGAGCTTAGTTGTTGATCTACTACAATACCTAGTATACAACTTATTATATGCTGGTATATGAAAGTTACTGTACACTGTACATCATGTGTACCAGCATGATCCTGGTTTAAGGTAAGCATCTTGGAATTCATTTGATATTTTACAGTGGCTTGTTAAAAAAATGACATACGTGTACACACAATTTGGAAATATGGCTATGTCTGGTTTCCCAGTAACAAGTTACTACAAGTCAATATTAGTCAAAGCAAGGCCTCATAAAGTGATGTTTAAATAGGGGAACAATTACGGTTTTTGTCACAAAACTGTAAAATAATGAACATCTACCTCATAAAATGTCCCATCGCAAAATTTGTATCTCATTTTGTGTTTGGACGAATTAGGATCTTTACAGGACAACATTTATGGACTAAAATTTGTCCAGCATTACTTTTTCAATAACTGAAAGATTTGATGCCTTACACTGGGACTGTCTTATCCAATGATTTGTAAGCTTGGGCATTGACGGGGCAAAATAAATTCATCAGTCTGCGGCTGGAGATATAGGGTTGATAGTGAAGCGGGGGTATATTGAATGATGTGTATTGCCTCCAAGGAAGATGACTGTAAATACAGCTCTTCCAATACACCCAACTTGAAGATATGGATCCCGGGCCTGATACAATCTTTCACCTTGGTTGCACCACGTCCGTACAGCTGCAAACATGCCCGTCATGTGTCTGCCGTGAGGCCTCCCTGGGCGTGGATAATATTTCACCTCCCAAGGTAAAGAACAGGAGAATGTCATCCAGGATGTACATGTATATGGCCATGGAGTGTTCACCACTTCATATACACTGGGAACAATCGTCAGATTTCCCCGGGCATAAATGACCACGGCCACCATTATAAATGTCACCGGCGGCAGCTTTGAAGACTTGACAGGTTAACGGCTTATTACTTCTTATATATGTGCGCTGTGTTTGAGGAAACCCTCAGCGTGTTTGCTTGTAGTGTTACATGTAATGTTGTCTGCGTCCTGTCGTAAAGTTTTACGGCCTTATGGTCCTGACAGGTGCTTGGGTGGTTCAGGGTAAAACGACAGGCATGCACAACCGCGACTCAGAGTTCAGGGCAAAACATTTGGTGGCAGTTAGGCGAGTGTATACAGCATCTCGCTGCCACCAAGATCAAGTTTCTTATTTGTTGGTGGAAAACGTGCTTTGTAAAACATCAACTTCATTATCGGCTGTGTTCGTTAATTCCACATCGCACTCGCCATGGAGGTTGGGGAAGGGGACCGATTGCTCCACAAGGGTCTTCCTGTGAGTTAAACTTGAAGCTTTCAGCTAAAACCAACCTCTTTGCATGTAGTTGAACCGTGCTGTATCCATCTCTCTTTCTACTTTCACTGCCGACATTTCTTTTATTCAGGTTGTTAGTTGATCTTTGTGAGCGCTCCAAAGGTAGGCTTAAGATGTTTACAAATCATGTCGAAAGTTTCGTGTAGCATTCACCGTCCACGCCAAAGATTTGCCTTACATATTGGGGTCTATATCACACCTCTCGATACCACTTTGCCCAACACCTAGCTTCTTAGAGCACTCTATCACCTCTTTGATGGATTAGCAGGCTTCCTAAACACGTTTGTTCGCACATGCTGTTGAAACGTCGGGGTCACAAGGTTCAGCAGAGCCTGAATAGACTCCAGCGATCCCTGGCTAACCTAACACACTCAGTTTTTGTCTATAAGTCTTGACTCCTGCCCCCTATCTCGGGACAACTTCATTATTGCTCGACTCTGTAGGATTCTCACGTTCATTTGCCGTGTGGATTAAAGCGCTTGTCTCAACAGGCTTTAGAATCTCGACTCCCCTATTTGTTTTGACAACATTTGCGCAGACATGCTATGTGCTGATGAAGGTGGCTGGGGTTCCGCTTTTCTTACGTGCATAGCTTGTCTGTCAAGTGAGAAAACAAGACATCTTGGCTTGGGTATAATTGTGCCAGTATATTCTTCATTAGCTTTGGGTGATAAAGCATGTGGGTAGGTGCCAAAAGAAAGGTTTCTGTAGTTTAGTTTTGATGGGGTGTTGATTCTGGGAATACCAGTCACACCAAGTGCTAAGCTGCCCCATGCCGTTGCATTTCGAGTGCCATTGTCTGCCGGAAATTTCCTGAAAACCCTACTTATCCGATTGTCCGGAGAGGAATTCGGGTAGCCTTAATCGACTTAGCGGAAATTTGTGTGGAAGTCTGGTTAACACGGCATATAATTTCCATTTACTTCCATTCATCTGTTGGGCTTACTGGTGATTAGCATAGGAGAGCCCCTGAGAACAATGCACGTGCGCTCGCAAAGGGACATTAAGTCGTCCTTAAGCTATCAAAATCTGCCCACCTGAACTCAAAATAAGATTTTAAAAGAACTTAGGCAAACGCACACACTGCAAAATGGAGGGGTATTTGCCTGTATTAAGTAGCTGTATCGCGGCGGTGCATTAGCGGAGTTCTGACGGGGCATGTAAAGATCCCCTGACCAAACGCTGATCCTATAGTGGCGCTTTGTTCGCTGCCTCGACCATGCAGGACACCTGATCCCACGCTTTTAGCTCCCGTAACGCCCAGACGTGCAGGCTGCATTGTCTGCTGTCAGGGGCCATCGCAGCACATGAATAAGGAATTTTTCCTCCACAGGTTTCCTCAGATTGTGCACTTCCATCGATATGGCCACAGGAGATGTCTCCTGACTACAGTTACCTGGTGACTCAGGGCCAAAGACACACAGAAAACACACGCTTGTTTCTGTGTTTTAGACCGGTTCTCTTCTGTTGACGAGGTAGCGTCTGTCAGGTAAAAACAGGGAAACATGGCATCCATTGAGAGCAGCAGCCTGAATTCTGGAACGGGAATAGCAGCAGCATACAAGGTATGGCAGTTTCCTGGCCTTGGCGAGCATAACGCTGTAGCAAGCTGTCTGCAGGTTTTTACCGCTTGTCTCGGGAGAGTTTGTTTTACTTTTGCCAGTGGTTTGACAGTTTGTCGTTGTTTGTTTGCTGTAGTTTTTGTCCGAGATGGTCTTGTTAATTAGTTAAACTGACCTAAAAGGGCCTCGTTTTGACTAATGGACCCATTGCAGCGTCCTACTCGCTTGGAGGAAAGCTCTCGGGGGAGTTAGTTTGTCAACAGGGCGCCGCCGAGCCGCCATGTTGTATGTCGACATTTGGCATGAAGAAGGGGGTCGTCATGCGATAGCCTGGACTAATGTCTCCGCACTGACTTTTTCACCTGTGGCTTGTTTATCGCATTCTGGCGTATTTGTGGCGTACTTTGCCGTCACAGGCCTGCTTTTGTTCTGGTGGCTTTGATGTTGTTTTCTACACGGCCGTACCTGTCAAGTGGGGAGGTCCCGGCAGGTGTTTGTAGTGGGAGCACCTGCCTCGTCAAATGGACACTTCCTCTCGACAAGTTGTCTTTGTCAGAACTGTTTTCTTAGTGGGGGTGATTCCCAGATCTTCTGGTGGCTTCAAGAGATGGAATTCCCTCTACAGTGGTATCATCAAATCTTTCCATCTCTTTGGTCTGCCATTTTGCATGATTTATGAATGCCAGGTAAACACTTGTACGCATGGCCTGAGTACATGTACCCAGCGGTAACTCAACCAAACGAAAAAAGGCGTGCCGTGTCGTGGCATTCCCACATCCACCATACAGAAGCCTCTTGTGCTTTTGTAAGTAAACAGACTGAGTATTTATTCATTTAGGCTTTCCTCGTGTCAAATGGCGGGAGATGGGAGTGGCCTACGTTTTGGGTAGGACTAAAAAGCGACACATAAATGCCGTTTTTATTTCTTCTATGGCCAATCCATCCAAGTCATAATGGCTCCATAAAAGGTGAAACAACAGTATTTTTTATTGTTTCATTTTGCAGGATGAAAGGAGGTATGTTTTGAGTCTCATTTCATTATTTCTCATCTATTTCTATTGTTTTATTGTACGTCTGTAGGACAAGGTGAAGATGAACCAGTTGCAGAACCTGCTCCATGATGCGCTCATCTCCACCGAGCACGTCGAGCACTGCTGCATCCTCCGCAGGAAGGATGTGTCCCTCCGAGCTAGCTCTGTCGGATTCACGGTAAGTTGCAAAGAAGTTATGAACTGGCAAATGATAATTTCCCTTGTAAATATGTTTTTTTTTGCCATTATTTGGTTGAATCACCCAATCTAAGAGGACGAAGGTAATAGAAATTGCAATAGCCTATTATACATGTACATTTTATTACTAATAATGGAGTTAGATTAGTTTAATTAGTATATGTTCATTGTTGTACATTGTATATGAATGTAGATCCGATTCTTAGAACGGTTAGAAATACCATCTATTACAACTACATGTATTAGATACTGTTAGCATCACATACTATATATGTATGTATGTATGTGTTTTGCTATACGTTGTACCTGCTACAACTGTTACACAATAAAGTTCTTTTTCTATTTTAGTATTTACACATATGCATGTGGCAGTGTAATTATATGAGTTCATGGAGAAGTGATTGACTGTTTAGAAAGCTATTCTTTGGTTGCACCACCCAATCTAGGGTCAAGACAGGTTGGTATGTGGGGGTATTAGTATGAACTCGAACAATTACAGGGATCTAGATTCATTTCAAATCTGACTCAAGCCCCCATCAGATAAGATTGAAACAGCACAGAGGGTATTTGACGCATGGTGCAAGGAGAAGGGTTTAAAGTTTTAAAACATCATATCGAGTATTGTGGTGGTGTTTCATGGCTTTTGTTGCTTGTTGGTGTGATAGGTAGGAGATGGCAGGTATGATAAAGCCTGGATCTTAGCCCTATGTATAACTATTATGTTATGATGCTTGTACCCTATGCCAGTTTAACTACATGTATGAACAGTTGCCCATAGTTAACTGTCCATGCTTTCTCATCACCAACTGAAGAGAAAGTAGGAAACATGTGGAGTGTTTTTAAGACAAAAGACATGAAAATCCTCATTAGAATTGAGCCTTCTGAAATATTTGCAAAGTTACATGATGTGAAGTGTACTCCACTCAGAGTCACTGGTAAAGCTTATCCAGCACCAAGGACAGACACATGTACAAGAAGCACTCTTATACACTCATACAGTGATTGATGACTGTCAGGAAGAAACATGGAGTTGAACAGCTCTTGACTCTACTTTACACATACCAAACACTACAATGATTTACTCCAGTCTGAGAGTGAGAGAGCCCCCCCCCCCACCTGGGTGTGGCCGAGACTGCGTTGTTTGTGGAGCCCCCTCCCTGTTTGTTGTCACACAGTCACGCATGCTAAGTACTCCATATTGGGACAGGGCCGGGGCGGGCAGGCAAAATGTTTGTTTTGGTCACTTCTTAGTCAGACAGACAAACAGACGTGGACTTCACCACACCAGGACTCCCCAGAGCTGGAGAAATCTGGCATTTCTGGGAGCAGTATTGTTAGCACTATTGTTATTCCTGCATGGTTCTCATCACCACCGAAGACCTTCACCCTGCAGATGGTTCATCTGAGGTTACCTTTTTTTTGGAAGATGTTTGGAAGAGGTGATTTGGTTAACCTTTCAGTTTGTTAAAATCCATTAATTTAAAAATGTTCAGATACTTACTCATCCTTTTGAAAAATGTCCATGTCAATTGCACTTATTTTGCTTTTCCTTTAAAAGTCCTTTGACTTGAGTAAGATGAGTTGAGTGTTATTGATTTCTTCTTTTGGTAATTCTCTGTCCTTATCTTTTAGCCTACATCTCTTTAGTACACAAAGTAAGACAATATCTTGTAAAGATCATTAATGATTTGAGGGAGAATAGATGTTGTGGAGGTAGCCTCTCTATGCAGGCTTCATGTGAGGGGTGGCTATCAGGAAAGAGGATCCATCTACTGGAAGCTGAACGTGCCTGGAGTTGGAGGCTATCTGATGTACAGTGTAGTATACTTGGAAATACATGTAGAATGGCATAATTGATTCCAACCATAGGCTCCAGGGGCACAAGTCAGCTCGCAAGACAAACTGGCCAAATCCGACCATCCTTCACTGTTAGCTCAGCAGCCTTGCAACAACATTTTGCGGTCATGATTTAATTATCGGTGCACTCCTGGTCCATTAAGCCCGGCTTTGCCCTAAGCCTGGTTTGTTCCCACAAACAGATTTTCCTTCAGCGTATTGTTTTAAGCCCATTCTTCACTGCTGAAATCTCCTCCTGCAGGGCAACTATGATATGTTAAACTGTGTGCATCCTGTGTGTGATGTAGTACCTGACAGTCTGCAGGAGAATCAACATTTCAACGCACAAGTTCAGCGTTGTGGTTGCTCCTGCTGACTGCCCAAGTCCAAGCACTGTTTGTTTGAACAGACAATATTTCCCTTCCCTGTTGTCTGTAGCTGTACCAGGATCAGATCCAGATGTTTGTGGACGCCTTCAAGAACCCGCCGCAGACGAGAGAGGATGGTCTGTACTTCGAGGACAGGCACTACAAGTGTGTGAGGGCGGACAAGAATGCTGTGTATGCAAAATGTGTAAGTAGAACTTACAACTTGTGATTTATGCTTTGCAATTATTCTCTGTGGCAATGGCAGTACAGTCAGTTTACCGTAATATATCAAACTCTGTAGTAGGCATAATAGACCTAGCTGGAGACAGTTGTGGATTTCATCAGTCAGATTTAATGGGGAATGATGAGAAATCCTATTGCTAGGGCAATGGAACAAATTGCTAATATGAGGTATACATGTATTACTAGTACATGTATTATATCCTAAGCATTTTTCAGTGTTTTCTAGCAAGGTTTGCTCCCAGCACTAGTCCTAAGTTTCTACACCATTCTGCTATCAAGTGATTAGCTTACTCTGATTCCTACAGGGCACTTAAAGCCAGCTGTGTGATCCAAGGGTTTACACAGTGTTCAACATGTTCATCACATGGCTGGAAGGAAGCTACGGAGTAGGAAAAAAGGGTATATTTAGAAATTAATGGAACCGTCGTGAGGTGCCTTCCATCCATGACTAAAGATATGGATTTTCCTGTCTCTCATTACCTAATACCTACTTAAGTGGCAAATGACTTTGGGCTGGACTGGGTAATGCTCTCGCTGTATTGTACTTCTGAGGACTTACCATATCAGTACGGCAGGGTTGACCATCTTAAGCATGCGTATTGTTACCGGGTTTTCCTTTAATGTAACCCTCACGTTTAGTGTGATAAAGCCAAGAGAAGTACACATACAGGTTTTTCTCTGGATAGAGGAGTTGGGAGATGTTGTTTGGCTTTAGGCTAAGAGTGGTGTGCAGCTAAAAGGCTGTGTGGGGAGAGCTGAACTGAGTGCAAACAGGGGCCGCTCTTAGGTTTCAAAGGCTGGGAGGGAAAAGTTGAGATTAAGAGCTATTCTGCACACGACGGTTGGCTTAGAGCACCTGGAATATTCATGAGCAGGTAGAGCTGTGAAATCCTCCCCGTGACCAATCACGGGAAGGGAAGATGAACAGGGCTTCTGTGAAAAAGTCGTCAAAGCAGATCAGAAGAGAGCTGGAGCCAGGAGGAAGCAGGCAGCATCTCTCTGGGCAATGATGGGGTGTGACGAGTCTTTCCACAGCCTCTACACATGTCGGCCTTTCATAGCGCATGTGCATAAGCTGTGGGAGTACTCTGTACACCATTATACAACACAGCACTGCAACAGCACAGACCATTCTACAGCACAGTTTGAAGGTAGTATTGAATTGTTAGGAGAAATTTGAATCAGATAGTATACTCTCTGAGTCCATTCAAATGGTTCCCACTTTTATAATGTCCTGAAACAATGATTCTTCAGTTATTCATCAACTACACGACTTGTATACTTGCTTTGTTTGTTGAGTGGTTTAGTGGAGTAAAAGCATCTAGAAGGCTTTTCTTAATTTGTACAATTTTCTATTTGTTACTTGTCAGGATGTTCACAATTATACAGTTTTATACATTTGTATGTGTATATCCTAGGAAGAGAGACATGATTCTGCCTGCTGCAATTAAATATTTGCCCTTGCCGCAGGAGGGCTATTGTATTTATGGTAGAGTAAGCTGGAATGTTTATTGTGTTGATATACTGCAAGATAATTTACAACACCTTCACTACAGGTGTGCTTAGAAAAATGGGGGCTGTGACTTAGTTCATTAGAGAAGGCAGTCCATTGTATTGTGTGTACCCAGTCATGTGGACAAGGGGATCAACTTTATGAAGTCCAGACAAACTCAGACAGGGGTGACCTAGCTTTACAACAGGCAAGCCCTGGATGGTTGTTGTGTATTCAAGTCCAATCCACAATATCTAACTTGTAGTCTATAATAACTAGCCATATTGATGTGTCCTGTTTCTTTGTGTGATTCATAAATCGTTTATTCAGGTTGTGCAGTAATGACTGGGTATGCTGTCTGGCAAGAGGATTTACAGATATGTGGCCTTTCACCTATCAAAAACATGACTACTGTAATGGTCTTTTGCCCCTGGGTAAATGTTTTGTTGGCTTTGTCAGCGTGAATATTTAGACATACAACTGTGCAATAAATTACCAAAGCAATGGTTGAGCTACTGCCTTGAAGTTGGTTCTGTTGATCTGTAAGTGAGGGTGAATAACTATCTTTATAGAAATCATAATACATTGTACAAAAATCTGTTCTTTCAGAAACTACATGTAGCGCACTCACTGTAAACATCTGAGGGTATTTGGCGGTAACCCTCACCTTTCTGGAGCATTGGGTTAACATAATTACATCTGTACAATAGACCTGTGCTGCACGTAAGGCAAACCCGTGATTAAACCTTTCAGTGTAGTTTTGTGACAACTTCATTCCAAAACACAACCATTCTTTGTGGTGACTCATTATGTTCAGGGTTGTAGTGCATTTGTGCTTTGAGAAAGTTTGACAATGTAGTCTTCTGGGCTACTACATTGTAGATCTTAGAGATCTAAAGGCTCTGGCTTGTTTCACAGTGTTTCTGTGGCATTTTGCTCATCTTTCTAGTTTCTTAGTTTTCTCTTTAAAAAGGTGGGAAAGATGATCACCACTGAAAAGACATACAAATTGCCCTTAAAAACAGGTGCATAGCAATCGGGTAATAAGTCCTGCAACAGCTTGGAGATTATATCACAATAACTGTTTATGCAACTCAGAATGGTATTTTAGAGACACTTTTAAATGAAATCCCTAGTTTTTGTTCAATCTGGATAAATGTAATATTGCAGCAGAACTCCTAGGCTGCTTTTGAGCAGACCATTTTAGCATTGTTTAATATCCATACACTAAAGAAACTTCCTGAAAGATTTCATCTGGATGTGTTGCTTAGCAACCACATCCAAGAACAAATCCTGCGAAATTGTCGTCTTCCAAGGCTAAACCTCTACTGCCATTGCCACAATACCTTTTTCTGGTTTGCAGTTTTGGTACTAGCTGTGTAAATCTTGATTAAACATTTTGAAAAATCTTAGTTCTGTATGATGTAGTATCAACTGTGCTTGGTGGCAACGAGTTCCACTCTACGAACATTCTTGGAAAACACCTCTATTCTTGGTTGATAACTTTGATGTTTGAAAACATGAATGTGTCTTGTTCTCTGCAGGGGAAGCGAGGGCTGGTGATAGTGCGGACCGGCAGCCTGCTGATCGTGGGGACCTACAACGACAACATGTACCCCAGTGTGTGTGTGGAGGCTGTGGAAAAACTAGGTGGGTTCAGTGCCGAGGTCACTTCTCGCTAGCCTGGTTACCAGACCTATTATAGCTCCTGAGTCCTACATCCCCTCCGCAAATAGCAGAGAGGATGTAGGACTCATGAGCTACAATTTATAATAGGTCTGGTAACCAGGCAAACTTTTCACTCCCACTTAAGCCATCATTTGTGTAAAATCTTTATAATAATAATTGTTTTATCCTAAGATATTATTACATTGTACATGTAGGTGTACAGTGTGCAGATGGTATGTTAATCCCTCCTACCACCAAAAAATCTGATGCAAAAGTAAATGGATTTACAGTAGTATAAAATAACAGTTAGCCTAACATTAAGTAACCAAATAAAAATGTTGTAATAAGTAGAAACAGGATGCAAAGCACTGCCAAATAGATCCCCGATGAGCCTACTTGATATTGTGTGGGAGGCCCTAACACATGGCTACCATAGCAATGCTCCATAGCATGTAAGCAGCTAAAAATAACACTGAGCATTCATACTGATTTGGGCCCAGTTTTGCAGTGTATCTTTCATCAGTATGTCTAAATAGGGGGCTGATGCAACAAGCTGCCACCTTCTGGTCCCTGTAGCAACAATCTGATATATTTGTAGCTATTTTAAGAACAGAGACACTCTATCCTGATACATGGTGGCAAAGTAGAACTCATTTGAGTTTGACAATGTACTGTAGAAAGTAATCCAGGTAGTGTCTTTAGATTCCAGATTCGTAATATATAGAAATTAAACCAAATCCTTGGACGATATACCCATGATTGTGTATTAGGGTCATCAGCAGTTAATGTGCATAATGGTTACTGGACCTTTTACTGGCCTTTGAAGCCATGTTGCTAATGCAGGTGAATTAGCACCAAGGCCATGCATGGATTTTGTGGCAGGTGAATCCTTGATGACAAACCAAAAGCCCCACCACACTCTTTAACCCAGAACTGCAGCTGGACGAACCGGTCAACAAGCTATGGTGCACTCAAGTTTAATCATGTGGTTAAAAAGCTCCCTATAGCATCTCAACACAAAAGCTTGGTAACGTAACCATACAGGCTCTACTATTGTAGTATTCAATACCAAAACGCTGTTTTTGAGTTGTTTGCTGCTGCTTGACAATAAAATACAAATTTCGTAAGTGGAAATAGAGGTTGATGAAAATTTTCTGCCCTACTCATAGTGGTGGGTTCCATTGCAACAGATGTGAACTGTAACCAGGATTTGATCTAAGCTAAACCAATTGGGGGACAGCACTCCAAATTTGACAGCGGTTTTGGCATCTTGTATGTTTAAGTCGACAAATGTCTAGACTATGTCAATGCTTTGCAACAACAGCATCCTCCAAATACACCAAAGTCCTGGCATCCAGACAACTGGTAAATATCCCTTTGAGAATTCCAGAAATCTCTTGCCTGTGAGGCCAATAGCTGTTGAGAAGTGAAGATCTGGCTGTCCCCATGGACTTGATTTAGCTGAGAATATGCTTGCAATGGGAAGATCAGTCTTGTGCCTTGCCATCAGTTGAACTTAAGTCATGGACAGCACATAAATATCACTATTGCAGCAGCTTCTGAGGTTGTTATGCAAACGTTGGGTCAGTCTCATGACCAAGTTCACACAAGTCACAGGGTGTAACTGACCTAGTTCTATTGCCAGTTTAGCTACAGACAGTCAAGGGAAAATGGTTAGGGGGAAAGAGGGCAATTGAATTGTTTTTCTCACATCCACAGTTTGTAGTACATAGTGGATCATAATGTATTTCATGAGCTCTAACATTATATATGGCCATTAAAAGAAAATAAACTTTCGAGTTTGACATGAGTTACAATTTAGATACTTGTAAACACATGGTTTCTATCAATCAGCAAGTATGTTTGGTGAAAAATATCATAAATTGATGGAAACAAATGTCTTATCCAAGCTTGCTGTACATTTTTCTCAATAGCTGCCTCCCTCGGGGACCCTAAATACATTGTGAACAATAGTCGCAATCAAAGAGGGTCAGTATTCCCTTTCAGTACCTCGAGTGATAAATGATCCATTCTGTTCTTTGTTAGCTGTCAACCCCATGGCCTTTAGGTCCATGAGTTATTCAAGCCATTCTCTACAGATTGGACCATGGCCAGAAAGTGATTGCTTAATAGTGATGGAACCTCTAAAACATGCAAGGATGCCATCTTCATAAATGGGCTTGTTTCCTTTGCAGAATTGTTTTTTTTATGAGATGTTTGGAATACAACACATGTAATTGGGACGTGTGTAATCTGGCATAATATCACACAAAAATAATTGTGTGATATTATGTCAGAAAAGGTACATGTATTGGCCTTGACTGCTGTACTACTTATGCCGTATTGAAGTTGACAAATTGAAATGCATATTGTATCAACCCTCCCTGGCAGTTTAGACAATGCAATGTCAGCACCATCCTTCCGTACATTTTTTCTGCATTGTAGTGTAAGACTACAGGACATTAAGATAACATGGCATTTAGAGGGCAAGGCATGTTGGCTTGTCACTTATCAAAACAGTGGCTTCCGAGTCCAAACCTCAGAACAGCTGTAGAAACTACACACATAGAGGAGCCTGTGTGAAGTAGGTTATGTGTGGAATCCCAGCTCAGGTTTGAGTTTTGTGACGTGCCAGGCCACATGTTAAGTATTATTAGCGTTAACATACCATCTGTACCAAAAAAAAAAATACTCTCCATAAGTGGTAGCAGAGATTCATGTTGTTTATTTACTTCCTATTAAATATCATTGACATGGTGTTTTTTTTCTTTTCTTACAGCGGACTACTTTAAAGAGAAGGGGAAATGAGTTTGGAGGATGCAGCAAGATTTAAAACAGAAGTGCTGTAACGATTATCTTACTCATAAAGTTTGTAAAGCATTGTGTTTACGGTGATATGATGTATTGAGCACTGACAAAAGTGAAGCAGCAGTTGTATTTTTCATGTGCCAAGTACGAAGGGAGGCACTGGTAAAAATTTGTGTGAAAATATTTGCTCGTTTGTGCAATTTTGTAACATCTTAGCACTTTGTAAATGTTGTACAGGATTCTAATAAAAAAATCATGGAGATTTTATTTTTAAGACATGTGTACAGAATAGCCATGGAAGCAAGGCCCAATGGTAACCAACTATCATCTATATGTATCAACGACCTTTTATTGATCCATGGATGTTGAGTGTTGGAGAACCCAGTTCTAGGACCTGTGCCAACATACGGTCTGCATATTACGTGCCTTTCAGTATCAAAATTTTATGAGAATGCTGAGAAATTATGTGCTAGAGTTCTCCAAGATTGGCCTTGGAAGGTTGGTGAACACTGCACTGAATGTGAAGTAGAGTCAATTCCGCGTCACCGAGTGGGTTGTTATTGTCATTATTTAGAAATGTTTTGAATTCTTTGTAATTGTTTGTCTAAGAAATTTCATAATTTGGAAATATTCTGAACATCTTGTCAATATTCTAAATAATTCCCTGGTTTTCTAAAACGTTTGAAATATTCCTGATGTGGATTATGACATTTCCAATAGTTTCTAAATATTTCTAACAGCACTCTACCATTTTTTACCATTATTTCGAATTATTTCTAACATTTTGTAAATAGGTCAGTGGGATGGGAAGGAAGTAATTCACACATCCCTGTGAAGTACAGGGTAGACTGCCTGGGTGTCAGGCATTGATGCCTTACAACAAAAGAGCCACCAGTGTCCAGCAGTGAAATCTAAAAATATACAGAGGAAGACAGAAGAGTAGGATTAGCACCTACTTTTATGGGGGCAATTACCCACATCTACCATTTGGTTATTTGTTTGAAATAGTTCTAAATATTTCGAATTGTGAAAGAAACACATGGGTAGTTCAAATTTATTGTAAAGAAAGAGATCTTTGTACAGTGACATTCAAAATGCTTCAGAAATATATAAATGAATTCAAATATATTCAAATTTTCATTTTCAAATTTTTGAAAAATTTAGAACTTTTGTTACTGGGGTATTCTTTTCTTCTAAATAATTCAAACGTATTAGAAACATGGAGAAAAAACCCACTCGGTGACGCGGAATGGACTCTACATTGTAAAGAGATTAAAGTACATTTTTATATACAACCTGGCTGCTGTCTCCACATTCTTTTAAGGCATATTTATCTTAGTGTGACTACGTTAAATCATAACATGAATTATACTCATTCATCCATACTTTGCATATAATGGCAGTTAAATTCCTATATTATTTCATCTGTCAGTTTTGAAACGAAATATTCATCTTAACACAGCTGCATATAGTTTGCACACTCTGGCAATGGAGGGGAAGGAAGAAATTATTTTAAGAGGCAAATTGGCCTGAACATTGGGGGCGGTCATTGTAGCCTAATGGGAAGTCCAATATCTATAATGGAACAGTTATCACTACCTAGGCCAGCCTTGATTTTACCTATATTATGCTGCATGATAAAGCCTTAGAAAATACCAATTTCATAAAAACTCAGTGAAGAATATCTTCTATATGACACACTCCTTTGAGTATCATAATCTTATAAAAGATGTAAGCAGTTAAGGTGAGAGTACATGTATGCCCTTATGTCATTGATTTTAATGCGTGAAGTGATGCAATAAGCATGGTGCACTTAGATTCTGGGCTATATCAATAATGAGGTAATGATCAACAATAAACACTCCAGGGTCCTCTCGATGCTTTTTGCTGTCCCTCTGTGATAGAGGGTGTCATCAATTTCACAGTGGATGAATTTTGATGGTAATTATGTAAGGTAGATGGTAACCTTGTCTAGTGAATGGCTTCTCAAGATGGGCATTCAATAGGCTCCCCTGGTGCAGCTAATTGTCCCATTTTCATGGTGGATTATCTCAAACCTGCATGGTTACCATTTATGATGCAAGTCCTGCTTGAAAAATCTATAAGCAAGGAGGCTGGAAATCCCATTGGCAAACCTGGCAGACTGCCATCAGGGGGAGCTGGGTTCTCATATAAGGGGTTTTGCCTGGACTCTTTTCAATTTACAATTACGTGTACTATCCAAGCAGATATTGGGAGAGATAATTGTAACCATTTCTGGGAGGTCTGGATATTACAAAATGTAAATATACTTGGTAGTGGAACAGGTAACACTATAAGGATGATACAGTTTGCAAAATTCTTTGTGTCGTCCCCAATTTAAGGTGATACAGTCATACATGAAGGCCACCTACAAAGAACTGTAGAGCCACATCCTTATAACATGTATAAATGGCAAGTTTCAAAGGGTTGCTGAGGGGATTGCTGCCTATTGGAACCCTTGGATCATCACAATATAAATTGGTACCAGTTTATATCTGAACTTAGCTGGGCTTTGCAGGGTTACCAGTAATTGGACTTAAGGTCACATAAGTGAAATTCTCAGAGGGACCAGCCCTTTTGAATACCATATTGGCAGAAGTCCAAAAAGTAAGGCTGCAACAGAAGGTGTCTGCATGCTTCTTGAGCTAATACCTTTCAAATCCATAGGGAAATAGGGGCCAGTAAATGAAGTTACAGCTTGCTATGATTTAAGTGGTAAATAATTGGTGGCATGTATTATCATTAAGGTCTCAGTTGAACTTCCAGATATGTTTACCTACATACCATTACCAAACAAATTGTAGATTCAATTAGGTAAACAGGTCAAATGGAAGTGCGAAAACAGAAGGCAGTTTCCCCTCCCCAGTCATCAGATTTTAGGCCCCTAGCAAATTCTCCAGGAACTACAATTACTAGTACCGGTATACACATTTGTACATGTTATCATTGCAAAACCTGTTTTGGGCCCCAATGTTGACTCCAATGCATGGGAACTGTTGTGGGTTGTACAGATTTTAAGTTAAAAACATAACTTTTAAAGCAAACTTAGTACTTGAAGGTATTGAATGGATTTTTATTCAGCTGCAAATGCATGGAATAGTTACAACCCCAAGTGTAGAGCGCCGTGTGATCAAAAGAAAAGGGCTTTGAATTTGGCATGTTGACATCCTTGCCACAAATTACCATGGCAGTTCTTTCCTGTTCGATCTTGGAATGGTCTGTAACAAAGAAAACAAACTTTAGGGCTTCCACCTCCGTCTGTTGAAACTATTTGCCAAGCAGTGTTTATGTATAATGCCATCTCTGCTGTAGTACTGTGAGGACTGTGTATGTAAAGCTCTCTGAAACTTTGCAAATGTTGTCGGAACTTCTACTCTGTATGTATTGGTACCCGATTAGTGAAGGTTTGTATATGTGCCAGCACTGGAATGTGATCCATTCATTGCCTGTATTTGTTTATTAGGCAACTTGGATAATGTCTTCCTGCCAAGGACCATGTTTTAAGCCAACAGAGATTAAAGATGTGTTGCTTATTAAGATCTTTCCCTAAAAAATAGTAATATTTGCTGGTTGAGCTGAAATTCCTCCATATGACATAGAGAGGAGTCATGTACAAAGTTATGAAACAACCAGCATTCCTTCTGCATATTATTCTGGTAAAGCACCTAAGTTCCCTGCTGTGGTAACCTTTGGTACAAAATGATTAGATACATGAACCTGGGACAAGGTTACTTTAACAGATACCAAAAATATGGATTTTTTTGGCTGCGTATACAAAGTTTTCTGCAAAGACACTTGGTAATTGAGGGTTTTCAACCACAGAGATCTATAATTTGCCCAAGACGTCAGATAACAGTTGTGATGAGCACAACCGGATAGGCCTGAGGGGATATCTGTTGCAGCATACCAACCATGTTTATGTTGTTCTTGTGATAGTAAATGCCATACTTTCATGTTATGTGCCCAAAACAGATGTCTCCTGCTTAACATGCACAAACATACATGTACCACCCTACAACTTTCAGTCAGACTGTATCTATCTATACATCAAGGTGGTAAGGCTGCCTCATCATATTCTTCAAGAACTATTCTATTGTTTAAGATTACATTGGATCAACAAACACACATACAAGTACGTAACCAGGATTGCTGTTTGGCACTGATATCAATAAACATGCAAGTCAGGGAAAGTCAAGTAAATGTATTTAATAAGTACTGTAATACTCCAACCCGTGGGTTGCATGGTGCAGCCCTAACCATAGGTGGTGCTATGTAGCGAAGCAGAAGAGCACATACAGGATTATATGTATACGATCTTAAATCCACTCCTTAACAGCATACTTAAGCACCGACTGTACCAGATTAAGTAACACCTAGATAGTAACAAAGGGTTTTTCCTATTTTCGAATATATATTGACCTAAGTAACAGATCATCATCAAGAAATCTGAATTGATCAACACAAAACTAATTTCAGGAGTGACTACTTCATATTGGTTGTCAAGGTTTACACTTACAGCGGTCAAGTTTTACACTTACAACTGTCAAACTCACTAATGAAAACCTGAACTATTTTGTTCCACTGCTATATAGTAAATTATCAGTAAACTATCAGTACATGTTGAACATTATCAGATGCTTTTAATTTCTACATTCCACAATGAGCATTCTAAGCTCCTCAAAGCTTAGGGAGGATTCACATGGCATTTTCTTCATACGTCTATTGTACACCACTATCAGTGCAAAAAAAGGAGCTTTCAATATATATTACAGTTCAAAATCAATAAAATACCATGTTTGATAGAAGAGATAGGATTAAGTTGCCCCCATCTCTGGTCCAGAAAGAGTATTATTAAATGATAACCATGAAAATCGATGATACATAATGATAGAAGAGATAGACCTACTGTGCAAGAGATACACACATGTAGGAACTGACATGCTGGAAGGAGGGATGCTAGTGCTGACATGGCGTGTCCATTCTTTGGCACAAATATACATGTACAAGGGCACAGCAGGTGACATATACTGAGAGACTTTGTACATTTTTGCAGGTCTGAAAATGTAACACAATCAGCTGGCTTTGGGTGCCACATGCACAGCATTCCCACGTGACATCTGGGCACTAGAATCTGAAAAGTCAAGAAGGCAGTGTGCAGAGTTAGGGGGGATGACGGAGAGACGGAAATGGGTTCTGCTGCAGAGCAAGAAATCGGAAACACAGTAAATACTGAGACAGAGGCCCAACTGTTCCCAAAGCGCCCTGCCACCTGGTCTGTGACAAAAGAGTTATTTTTGTCCTTTGGCTTTTCTTCACAAGAAAGCTCCTAATGGTTTAGGTCACTTGGGTTTATATCCAAACATATAAACAGACGAAACAAATGAGACCCAGCTGTAGAAAAAAATCCACAAACTTGTCTCCCTGCCCTCTAACTGGTTTCACCCAAATTTGGTATCACTTCCCCTGGTGTGAAATCTGTGTACAGCAGGTTAGTATACACCACTGATCCCAGTCATCCTGCTAATGAACTTGTTTTCCGTCCATGGGGCTTTGGGAAGCCTTGATGCTGTATCTCAAGACATAACACACACAGAGGCATGCAGGAAGAAACCCATGCAGCAGGCACTCAGGATGTCTTTGATCCTCAGTTACCCTCGCAAAAGGGAAGTTTCAAAGACATGATGTCATCCTGAATGGAACGTCCTGTTGGCAGAGCTAGGGAAGCTGTGAACTGGGCAAACCATATGGAGCACAATTTTGGCTTTGTCACAGTGTGTTCGTCACTGCTATGTGAAATGGAGGATACAAAATGTACTTGGTCTTGTGGCTGAACTTTCCTGACATACTCTTTCATGTTAACCAACAATGAACATGAATGTTTTCCTATTCACAGCATGGACAGAAAATCTTCAGTACAACCACTTTCCTCCACAGAGCTATCAATGCACAAGAAAGTATCACATACAGACTTCACCATTACATCTATCTTTGAAGAATAAATTATCTCTAATTCCTTTGCCCATGTTATGTCCCTAAGGCCACAACAACAATTTAATACCAGCATGTTGTTTCTTGGATTCTTTCTGGGGAAAAGTTACAGTAGCATGACGAAATAAAAATAGGAAAAGATGACTTAAGTTGCAAAAGTAACAACAGCAATAATCTGTAATTCTTTGACGGGAATTATCATTCATGACTTAATGCATAAATATTTCAACACTGTGGGTCAAAAGAAGTAAACTTTAGTTAGATTAAGAATAAGGAGACCTTGTGTAACAAATAAAACCTGGATTTTCAAGAGAGTTCATCCAAGAAACAACTGATCAGATTAAATCGCTGTGGCCTGAAGTAATCAGTCTTGCAGCAAAGACTGCCTAGCTCTGCCAAGAGAACCACAGTTTTACACGCGAATGCCTACCTCCTCAGTACGGTAGTTTGCACCTTTCCTAAAAGCATGAAAGGCATAGGAAAGACATAGAGGGGGAACAATGGGTCAGCAGAGAAACATAACATCACAGTTAACTAAAAAAAGAACAATCACAATAAAGGAAAAGAAATCATCACAACTAAACATTCTTTACTTTTCATAATGATATTGTTTTTGCTTCTCCCACTATCACTCCAGAAATTTTTCCTACCCAAACTGCAAAAGCTGAAGTCATAAACTATTACAAAAATTATTCTCTTCTCCATTTGCTTAGTCATCATACTTCGCACACCGATGTTATGCCTACAAACATCTTCCATTCACATACAAAGCAACTATAGTCCTTAACATTCCAAATTTTACTTAGTTTTTTTATGTTAAACTTTTTAGATTAGTATTAGAGCAGTGGGTGCATCAGAGGTTTTCTAATGGTTGAATTTTTAGTATTATTGTGAAAGGATACATGCTAATTAGTAAATCATCACTTGATTATAGACCTCAGTACTGTATGTGTGTTGAAATGGAGGCATAACATCATGATGAATCTAAGTTTTTAGAATGATAATTATAATTGGCCTTCCAAATTATGATAAATTTTGAAAGATTTTTTTGCAGAGTCAACTGCTTCTACCTCAGATACACCCATTTAAGACTATAACAGCAACACAGGTAAACTGATAGAAAAAAAACAAGAACTAACATATTACTTTGTTAATAATAGTCACAACTGAAGAAATTGAAGTTTTATCATTATGTGTTTCAACTAAGGCAGTACTGGAAACCATATGTTACAAATAAAATAACAGCAAATCTGGAATCTTTTTTTTTCCCGCATGCAATGGCACATCCTGAGGAGTTGTTAGTTCATCATATGAAACCACATGCATCGGCACGGCAAGTGGAATGGGACTGTACTATCATTCACTCTGTGATGGTGGGCTGGGGTGGACATGCTGCATAGTCAAGCCAACTCACTTCCAAACCTGGTCTGTAAGAATAGCCAAAATGCTCAATGTTAATATCAGCAGGGCTCGAAATTCGTTTTTGGGAATAGGTGAATGTTTTTTTTTGAGGTGCACCATATAACATAAAATAAGTTGAATGTGAGCAAAAAATGATTATGTTTTTATTTCTAAAGAGAAGTACAGTAACAATGATTTTTAATTTTTTTCTCGCACTTAATTCGAGCCCTGATATCACACTAATCAGTGACAACAACCACCTTAGACAGAGGCAGAGGCAGCAAAACCTGGCAACAAACTTAACATAAAACAAATTCGTGATTACAGAAGTGTTCACTGCTCAATAAATGTCTAGAATTATAAGTTGGCCTTTTGCAAAAGAAATCACCCAGGAAAGGTAGATGTAGATCTATGTGGATGATGCGATAAGAGAAAATCAATTATGAAATGATTGAAAGTTGTGGATACTACATAGATTTCTTGTTGTAGTTGCTATGGTTGTGATCAAAGTAATAGAATGCTAGAATCAGATGAGCAAGGAAAATTTCCGACAGAATTTCCCTTTAATTACAGGAATTTGAGAAGTCAAGGACAGCCGACCACCACCAGAGGTACTAGGAGATTCCACATGATTCTACTCATCTCAGTCACACTCATTTTTGCCAAGCTGAAGCATACATGCAAACATGATTAGTAGCACCACAAATTTGTTAGGCAAGTTACTACAGTCATCACACTGACGTTGCTAGATGTGAGCATGACCAAACAGGATAACCATCTTGCAAGAGATGTTAAACTGTTTTTTTTTTTAAATAATGCTTTTCAACTGTGCATAAATGTCATACTATGTCATACCAAGTCAGAATTGGTCATTATGATGATCCTTCTTTGATTGCATATGCATGTGCACTAAATGTTTATTACTTAGGCCTTACCCATGTGCTTTTTCCATGTCAAGCAGACCTCCTCGTCCGGGTACAACGTCTTCTTGAACTCCTCCGTTTCGTACGCTGCATTGAGGTACCTCCACAGTCCTGTCAGATCTTGGGGGATTTCCCACTGCCTCAGTTTGACGGCCACTCTGACGTGGTGAAGCTTGGGAAGGAGATTGCAGTCGGGATGCGTTAGCTGGTTGCCGTCGAGGAATTTTCGCTCCGAAGGGCTGTTTTCATCTGTGTCGTCATCTATCTCATCGGGAAGCCGCCTGATCAGGAACTCATTCAGCTGTACCAACGAGATGTAGAGGGCCCGCTGCAATCGCTCTGTGTCATCCTTGTTGTTATTCTTGATAAACTTTGAGAACTTCTGGAAAATTTCGGTGCCTGCCATGGCGGCCTCAGGGTTGTTGGGCTCTAGCTTGGGGTACATTGGGGGCGCCAGCCTCTTCTCCAAGTAGTTGGCCATTTCTGTGACGTCGGTGATGGGCTCTTCCCCTTCTATCATCAGGAGGGGGATTTTGGTGCCTAAGGATGGAAGTGCCTTGAATAGGTGCTTCTTGGTCATGTCTACTGTCGTGACACTGAACTTGATCTTCTTAAGGCACAGGATCATGAAGATCCGTTGGCAGAACACACAGTCGCCAAGACTTGTGCCATCTGAAGCAGCCTGTGAAGACATAAATTTACAGATTTCGCTGAAATATAGCATTTGTTGTTTCATGTGACAACATGAACTACAACTTATAGTATATACTACATACGGATCACATCCACTATTTATGAGCCCCTATTTATGAGTATTATGATAAAATAAGTAAAATTGACAACTTAAACTATGAGTCAGATATATTAGATGTTCCCAAAGCATTGAATGTTTCCACTGGTCTACTCGCTAGTTACCACAGTATGTTCAAAGGTAACAGGTGCAAAGGTCATGTTATTCTTTCATGACTTCAGGATTGATTGTAAATTTACATAGTGCTCTGACATGATTTAAGTAAAAAATTATGACTTCTTTTAAGCAATTGACAAACGTCTTAAATCTTTTGCAAATAGGAAAGCATTTCAATACCAACTGTGAAGCACTTTTGAAAACAAATCCCAACAAGCATCATTAAAGATGCATCTACATATTCATCAATTCCTAATGTGCTATTCATACTATGTACATCGATGTGGATCACATTTTGCACAAATCTGTTCAGAATGGAATGAAATCTACTTAAATTGAACAATCCAAGTAAGTTTACCATCAACAAAACATGCAGTATTGGCGAAGGCAAGGACAAATACTCACACTGAATTTCTGGTTACTACGGTAGTAATAATACAATACATATACACATTTCACATGCAAATATCTACTTTACAGATCCAATAGTGAACAGCTTTTGTTTCATTCAGAGCATCAGTATCAGTATTGGTCATATCCATTACTAAAATGTAATTACACAAAGTGCTTTATCCTGGGAAACCTACAGGTACTTTACAAGTGAAAGCAACATAATTGTCAAATCCAACAGAGAATACATGGGATATGAATATAATATGAACCGTGATTTAATTTTGCTTCTGGGTTGCGATTTCCAGAATCTACCACGAGTTTCAGCCAAAGTGTGTATCTTTACATGCATGTGTATTGACAAAAACAACCAAGTTACTCTGTTTACATTTTGCATTGTCAGAAAAAAGAATGACGTCATCAGAGGCATTCAGCTAACAATGGATTCCAACCGGTTTGAATAATGGCCCAAGAATGTGGTGATAAATGCCCCTCTTTATCACCACCACCATTCTTAAATCAGAACAATGTTTACATGGCCCAACTGCCTACACTTGCCCAGTAAACACCACTTGAACATCAATGACACTCTTGTCAGCAAACTTTACAGTGGTTTACAAAGACTGTTGTTACAATACTTGATGTTTTATCTAGCATTTTGTGGAATGCTTGCATGTAAATGCTTATTCAGAATCTTGGGTCATATCCAAAAACAAACATGAAGAATTTTTCAGATACAAGTCACTGTTGAATACATCTATTGAGTCAGTCATATTTACCACATAGTGATACATTTCCTGAAACACTTGACAAAGTGTGTTTTAAGTGATAAAGTAATAAAATGTCATTTGAGCAACAAGATAAAGGAACCATAAAACTCTAGGGTGGCAGCTGCTGCCCCCAAGAATATAGACTCTTTTTCCCCCCACCAACATTAACAAGATATGGAGTTATCTTATATTTACACATAGCAGCTGACCACAAACATGACATGCCAACTGTGTTAGGGAATTCTACAAACCGCAGCAGTAAGTCTTCTCAAATATAGAACGTACTGTGTTACCCTGCCTAGAAAAATGATGGGTGGGGTTGTATTTACTCTGAGGGATGTTTCTGACCCTTAACCCTCAATATACTACTCTGCATGTTTAATCATGGGTGGGGTGGGTATTTTCATTGGTGTTTCTTTCAATCCTTGACCCTTCTTAGGCCATGTGACCATTAGTTGTTTTTCTTTTTTGGCCCTGTAAATTTCTGATAAAACTGAACTGGCGGACAACACTGGCATCAAAGGTATCCAAGCACTGGTAAGAAATTCTGTTGGCTCACACAGTACAGTAAGAAAACATCCCTCCATTCCAAAGAGCACACTCCATTTACTCTAGATACAACAGGCTTGTCTTATCTATCCCTGATGAGGTGGGGAGGACAGGAGGGGGCCCCATTAGGTGATTCCAAATCTATCAGCACATAATTTACGGCATGACAAACTGGGGCACTATGCAACAATCCTTGCTTTTTTGCTCCACACTTCAGTTGGGAGGTCTCTTCATAAGCTAAAAGGAATGTCAAGTGGGGTGAGCCGCTAAATTGCAGTGGGAGGGGAAATCTTTGTCAACAAGGCAGCAGGTTCAATGCTCTCCTCTGTACGGTGGAATTCTTTGACCCCAAGACTCGTGTCTTGGCAATGAAAGGACAAGATAAGCTTGGCAGGGAGGCGGGCATGCTGGAATGAGCAAATATAAGCCACCCTTTTAGGAACCCTCCTCTGGGGCTGTATTGTATGGCAAGATGACATCATTTCATACAGGTGTAGTGTAACAGTACTGACACACTAGTTCCTGGCTTCATTTCCAGCCAGGACTTCAGCCTATTTAGGTGACCCTGCTACTGGTCTTGCAAGTTTTGACTGCCAGATGCTCAATATCACCCCATGGGGAGGCGTGACATCTGATTTTCATGCTCCCAAAAGCCAGCAGGCCCCTTCAAGTAAAGTATTCGCGGTTGAAGAGCTAATAGCAGGGTTCACAAAAGTTCATTCTCAAGTGTGCTCGTCTTAACCTATTGACACTTACACATTCGCCTATATATACTTTTCGAGACTTCTTGTAATCTTAAGAATTTAGGGCAAGGCATATCTACTGCTGAATGGAATTCAATCAGAAGTCTTTCACGGTAAAATGCTAAATCGACAAACGATTAGCATAAAACACACTAGGTACAACACATTCTAAAACCTTGACGTAATGACGTGACCAGTAGTACGTGGGACAAGGATTTGGGCCCTGAGGGCATCTATACAATAGCATGCGCAATTGCACTGACTTGACAACATTGGATTTGTAGGGGCAAAAGATCAAAATAAATACCAGTCTTTTCATGTTTTTGTGTGTGTGGCCCCACGGGCGGCCATTTTGAAAATTAAGCCAGCTAGCTTATTTCGTCGTCTGACACCTTCACTAAACATCATCATTTATCTCGGAGAAGAGACATTCTTCCCTCTAGAAAGTCCAAAACGGGGACGGATGTTTCTCTTGGACATTGTGTTGCGTCCATTAAGAGACACACCCTTTTGTAGATCAGAGGGATTAAAATAATGGCAGGTTCCACGTTGTTTTGTCAACTACTCAAGCAAGCAATGCGCGCTCGAACACTTCAATCCCGACCACAGAACGTCGGGGTGACTTTCTCGAAACCACGACGCTTACCTTCACGAAAAGCTCGATCTTGGGCTCCTCTGGCTGACATGCCTGGTCCCCTCCGTTCTCCATGGCGGCGATTCTGTGGCAGGGTTTTCGGTCTTGCTCGGTTCAACGCCCCTAGAGCAAACACAACGGCTCGCAAAGAGACTGCCCTGTCGTCCACTCAATGCATGCAAAATGGCGGCCTCGCCCTCGTACAGCCTGAGGAAACGCGCATGCGCGCAGTGTCAAGGCGACCCGCTTGGCCCGACGTTCTGGCCCCAGTTCACTAAAACCGGTTTTGTCGCATGACTCGAATGATTTCCTGCTTTAGATCGTTGCTACGGGGGAAGTGGTGAAAGTATGTTGAGCAGGACAAAATCCTAGTCACAACAGTGCCAAGCTTTTGCAGGACGTTCAATTAGTTCTCTTCTAAGATGATGTAATATAAGCATCCAATGGTCACCGGGCTTAATGCTCTTCAGTTGTTACAGTTGTCCGAACACCTGTCCCCAGCTTCAGTGCACACCACCGCTTGACCCATTCACAAAATAAAAACGGAAAACAAAGCATTGCATAACAACACTTATGATGTCACCAACTTCTAAAGTTGGTGCATCCAAACAGAGACCAGAATACAATAACAAAATTTTATCGCCGTGGCTATATACACTCCCGGTGTGTATATAAAAGACAAATAGATTTTATATACACTCCGAAATACTAGCCTCCTTGGTAGGCCCCAAACTTGGGTTTTTGTGAGTGTTTGAGGATTCAGGGGCACCAAGTTTAAACCTCGGTCTTCAAGTTTATCTTATTGGATGATGAAAATCAGAAAACAACACGGAAATCTCCACCGAAGTTCGGTCGAGCGGACCGCCCCGCCCCGCTTGCGCGGGGCCCGGGACCCTCCGCTCCCGGCGGCGGCGGCGAGACCGGTCGCGCGCCCCTGGCGTCCTCGCTACCTGGTTGATCCTGCCAGTAGTCATAGGCTTGTCTCATGCACGTGCAAGTTTAAACTGTCTCAGTGAAACTGCGAATGGCTCATTAAATCAGTTATGGTTCCTTTGATCGTCACATCCTACATGGATAACTGTGGTAATTCTAGAGCTAATACATGCGGAAGAAGCGCCGACCTCACGGTCTGGCGTGCATTTATCAGACCAAGACCAACCCGGGGTTCGCCCCGGTCCCTTTGGTGACTCCGGATAACACAGCCGATCGCGCGGTCTTCGCACCGGCGACAGATCATTCGAATGCCCTATCAACTTTCCGGGAGTGTATATAAAAGCAAATAGATCTTATATACACACCGGGAGTGTATATAAAAGACAAATAGATTTTATATACACTCCCGGAGTGTATATAAAAGACAAATAGATTTTATATACACTCCCGGAGTGTATATAAAAGACAAATAGATTTTATATACACTCCGGGAGTGTATATAAAAGACAAATAGATTTTATATACACTCCGGGAGTGTATATAGCCACGTTCAAATTTTATTATTACGTGCTCATTCTGCGTTATCCTCATGTACGCGAAAAGTTTCTGTCGTCAAGAATGAAAATGTCGACATGACATTTGATGACCTTAACATGCCGCCATGTAGGCGTTGGCATGGCGTCAGATAAGTGAGTTCCAATATGTTGGTATTCTAGGAGGGGCGCGTACAATCTGTTTTCTTGTAGTGGACACATTATATTAAGGAGGTTATAACTTATATTACCTCTTTGGACACAGACACACGCCCAAGTCCAACAAACTTCAGTGCCGTGGCACGTTGTTCAAAACGTTCTCGACACTAGTTAAAAGTGAACGCCTGGCTCATATTTGAAACAGAAAACTCAGGATACGTATGAGTTGGGGAATACAAAAATGCCGTATAATATGAATATTCGGACAGTCAATTTTATATGCATATATCGCAGCGACACCGACTATTCTGACATAAAAGTTAAGAACGTTTTCGTCGTTTTCAGATAGGACTATTGCTAAAATTGCTAATATGCAGGGTCGTCTGTAACGTTATTATGTATATATAAGTACATATGTCCCTTCTTTTGTCACGCCTAGCAACGAAGTCATGTGGACATGTGAAACCGACAGACCTTTAACCCCGGCGGGAAACGCCCAGGCCCGCCCGAGACATGCGTCAGTTCGGCACGAGTTTCCACATCCGGACAGACGGCGAAAGCATATTTATGTCTCTATGAGTCATGAAAGGACATCCTTACCAAAACATCGTCTCGGTGTTTATATAATGAACAAGTTAGCAATCAAACATAATGGTTGGATATGTAACTAGTCTTGTTTTCGTACATATGAGTCAATACACGTAACAGCTTATATACTGTAGCTTTCTGAGCTTCAAACTGTGTCAAAGTCCAAACTAGCAACAAAGCACACACTAGACATGACGACGCTTTTTAAAGATATTGCATGGAATGCACCAGCACCAGAATTGAACGCACCGTATCATACTATAGGTAGGTAGCTAGCCATATAGCGTTACCCGTGCAAGCATTCAATTCGCGATCGACTGGCTGTCTATTTCTCTTGCCTTGCAACGAAAATAAGGGCGTCCCCAAAGTCAACACAGGCTGTTACATGACTGGCTCTTTAAACTATGTCTCAGCGAACAACGTAACCGCCCTGCAGCTGAGCTCATTAATTAAAGAAGCACAGGAGGCAACGCCCTTAAGGCCCTTGATGACGTATGGCAAAGAGGTAGCAGTGATTCGACACGCCACCTCCGCATGCAGTACTTGTTTAATCTGATAGTTATGAGAAAACACTTCCTAACGGTTACGACAGTTGAGTATACATTCTTTTTTTAGACAAGCATTATGTACACATTGCCACCTGCCTGGTATTAGCACAGAAGGATTTGTATACGTCAACTTTAGACGACAGTCACGCTTCACACGGTTATGGTTAGGGTAGAGCGTGCGCAAGGTTAATGAAAAGTCATGTTCACGAAAGTTCTACGTTTGATAGCAAGTTAGCTACAGTAAGGGCTAGGGCACGCCCCTGGCCATTGTCCACTATAGGGTCCATCTTAAGTAGATACAAGTACCTTTTGTTGTATACTCTCTAAGCTTTACTCAGGAGGCTGAGACAATAACATAGTATGTTGTATAAGTACGTGCTATTGTATATGCTACTGACAACTCAGTTTCTTGTTAAACACACGATGCTGTAATACATGATACAGTTATAAACACACTTAAATTAAGTAAAATTCAAACAAGCATGTGGATGATATTTTGTTACAACAGTAATAACATAAATTGAGCTTACTTTCCGGCAATTAAAACTGTAGGACAACATTCGCAGTACTTCTGTCTACGTCTACACTCAGAGCAAGCTTAAGTTTTTAATCAGTGAACAAACGTGATTCGTACGTATTTGTTACGCGGGAAGGTAGTGTGTACAAGTATGTTAATTTCCACCAGATTCTTTTGCAGGCTGAATAAAATGGGGAGTTGGCCGGCTATAGCGGGTCCAGTTTGCCTGCATAGAGCAAACTGGACCCTCCCATGATGGCCGACCAACTCCCCTGGTCAGCTACATTCTTTTTAGGCCGATTTCTACTCTTTCCAGCCGCCTCCTCAAGCCTGGTAGAGGCTAACTGATTTCTACTATCTTATTCAGCCTGCAAACTAGTCTGGTGGAGACTAAGGCGACTGTTCCGCTACATCCTCGTATCGGACTCCTCTGGGTCCTTCCGCTCGTTGTACTCCACCAGGGCATATCCCATCATGCCCAGCACCAGCACGGCCAGTAAGATGTAGAGTTTGACGTCGGTGCAGAGGAAGTTACTGTAGGCGAACGCCACCACGAACCCCAGAGACTCCCACAGGCGGTAGTTGGAGAAGCCTGCCTCCTGGTTCTTACGGAACAGATAACCGTACAGAGCTGGGGGTGGGGAAATTGCAGATAGAAACTAGTGAGAACACAAAGAAACATCGAGAGGAGACAAAGTATTGAGCTGTGTTGCTTCCGCCCTTGCCTTTTGGATTAAAAAAACTCTGCCATTTCTTTAAACCTAGCGTGTCGAAGTTTAAGTCGATTTGGCCCATTTCTACTATTTTCCGCGACCTAGGAGCCTATAATAGAGGCTACAGTCAACATGGAGACGAGACAATGGCGGTTAAGGTTGATCATCATCAGATCTACGAATATTCTCCATCTCAAACCTTACGACGCTCACCGTTGATCTCCAGCTGCCAGACGGCGTCGCCCAGCCCCCAGAAGGCGGCCAGCACGAAGAACACCTCGAGCTTGCCTGGGTCGGGGCTCCACACCAGCATGGTGATGATCATGGCCAGGTGGGCAACGGCGCCCGTCACGAACAACGGTATTCTCCCTGCGGTTCAGAACACGGACACAAAATTACAAAAATTAACATTAAAACGTCCAAACTCATGCACATTGGCTGTGGGTCTCACTCTGAATCAGTTTGGTGAAACTCTCAACTTTGAAATGTATTCCATCATCCAGAAATACTCCTAAAGGAGAAAGTCTGCATGGCTGCAGTGGCCAATTATGTTAGCCTCTAGCAGGCTTGGAGAGGCGGCTGAAATGTTCCCTCAACGGACAAACTCCCTTGGCATGCTTATCTCTCTATTTGGCCGATTTCTACTCTTTCCAACCGCCTCCCCAAGCATGGTAGAGGCTACAATTATGTATTACTATATTACTAGAAAATAAATGCAACAGGAAATAGAAATGAAATGCGATGAGTTTTCTACAAGTATACGTCGAGAAAATTTGTGTCTTTCTGTACCTGTCAGCTTGATCAGACGGCCCAGTAGGAAGGAGAAGATGGCGTCACACACGCCGTAACAGATCATGACGTACCCGATCCACTCGATACCCAACGCGCAGCTCACAAAGGACTGCAAGAACAAACATTTATGGTCAAAACAATTTGTTTTTTATCTTAAGTAAATTGTACTCAAGTCAAGGCAGCAGTAGTAGATGTGTTTAAAGCCTCTGTTACACATTTAGAACCTTCCCCGAACGCCAGCCGACCACGTTTGGCTGAAGTTCCGGAGCAGTCATCAGATTCAGCAAGCCACGAGATTATAAGAGCCACGTCTACCTTTCTATACGACTAGAATCGAATTTGAGTTAAATTTGAGTCAAGTTTGGCTGCCAACCACGCCCTTATTTGCTTCCGAACACCAGCCACTCATGACCGAACGTCCCTTCCACACCCGACCTGGCTGAACACCAGCCGACCCTACCCCGACCTACTCCTAACCCCAACCATGGCCTATGTGCGACAAAGGCGTAAGACCCACCTTTGTGTAGTCCCCTGCCACGTAGGCCTGCTCCAGCCCGCTGTAGATGGTGATGGGCACCAGCAGCACCTGCCGTTTGTCGTCCTTCAGGTGTTTCAGAGTCGCGATCAGGAGTTGGAGCCCGGGCTTCTTCTCTTCGCCTTCACCCTTCAGCTTGTCCAGGAACACGGCTAGAACCAACACCGCGAACAGGCCGCAGCCCAGGTAGATACTGTTGGTCAGAAAAAAAGCGTACATAAGCTTTATCTGAAATTCCACCCTCATTCATTCATTTATTCATTCATTCATTCATTCGTTCGTTCGTTCATTCGTTTATTCATTCGTTCATTCGATTGCTCATTTCTTCATTCAATACCTCATTCTGTCAGCCAGTCACTCCCTACTCCTACTCCTACATCTACTTCCATCTCTGTGGAATGTTATCAGAGGAAACAACATAGCATGGTTGCCTGAGCCCATATAATCTAGGAAATAAAGAGAACACGACGAAAGGACAACATTGACGAAGAGAAAAGGAATAAAAGAAACGGGAGGAAAAAAGAAGAGTGGTTAAACAGAGCGCTTCTGTTTACCCGACTAGCAGGTTGACGGTGCTGGTGGTGGGAGGTTGGAGCGCGCCTGTGGAGTTGGGACAGTTGTTCGCCCCGCAGATCGCCGACAGCTCCTCGGGAGTCAGGCCCAGTGACGTCACGTTCCCGCGCTCCAGGACCAGGGACGAGATCAGGTTTCCCCAGATCTGTCCGGACTGGAACACCTGGGGGGGGGGGGGTGCAGATTTAGGACGTGCAGATAATCTATTGTCCTACCAATTTGTTAGGATAAGATTATGTAATAATTGAAACAAGCTTCTCTCAATATATCATATCTATCCATATTTGTGCCGCAATGCTCGATCATGATGTTCATACCGATACACAAGCGTCGCCAAGCGATATCAAGTAGCAGGTGCACCAGTTCCCAATGCTGCCCCCTTCCTGACAAACGGATATAGTAGTAGTCTTTATGTATGTTCTACTTTTCTCTTGCCATGATTGCTATTAATCTTGTAGATATAGACGTAGCACAGTAATATAGCACTTGTTCCTCCTACCCTTATACCTCAGTTATCTAACGTAGTGTATTTTGCCCATGTAGGGCGTGAACATGCAATAAAGTTAATTGTCATTGTCATTAAAATGAGAACGTACCATGAAGAAGATGCCGAAGAACATGGTGATGACGTCCTCCTGCGTCTCCCCCACCATGCCTGCGTACCGCATCCCGCTGGTCGTCACGTACTTGCTCTTGGCGGTCCAGAGCGGAGCCCCGGCCAGGCCCAGCGTCACGGAGAACGGCATGAGCGTGTACCAGGACGCGTAGAAGTTCCCCGCGGTGAAGACGGAGTACCAGAAGATGGAGACCACCAGGGTCCACTTGCAGCCGATCTTGCCGATGAGGATGGGCGGGACGAAGATGCAGGACACGATGAGGCTGGCGTAGATGACGCTGAGCGAGGCCACGCCCAGGCCCTCGTCGTAGTTCAAGCTGCTCTGCAGGTTCTGGAGGGACTGGAAGGCTGTGAAGTTGAAGAGAAAGGCGCAGCAGATGACGAGAAGGTTTTTCCACACGCGCCACTTCGGGATGGCCGTGGTCTCCAGGGGATCTGTGGATCCTTCGGCGTTCTGGTAGCTCGGCGTGATGGCGCCAGCGTCCGTGCCATCTTCTTTCTTCGAAACGTCTGAAAACTCCATGTTGTCTATGCCGGTCTTTGCTTGGGAGTTTTTGTGGGCTAGTTGATCGGTTGAGTTGCCGAGTTCTGGGGGCAATTCTTCGCCTAGGGAGTATCTACGGGTGATGGACAGATCAGAGAATGGCATTCCTGCTGGGTCCTAGATGTCTGGTTTTAACATCTGTGAAATCGTTGGAAAGAGAACATCAGTCGTCATAATGAATATATCTATTTGTTGCGTACACTAGTTATAAGATATTCTATGAGTATGACAGATAAAAGGATGGAGTAGGCAGAAACCGTATACAAGGTATTGACAAACATTGGAATGCTAATGGTATGGAAGAATACATACTGTTCACAGTCTACACCAAACACATATGAACTGCAGATATGATCTGAACGGACAGAAAGCAGGCCTGAAGTTTGTGGATCTCCAGTAGCACAACCGTTAAGAGAAAGAACCACTCTTAATATGCCACCTGTCAGAATGCAACTGCATTTTCCATTAATCAGACGCCTTTATGCCCCCCTCCCCTGCGTGGGGTAACTTAAAAACATTTTGGAGAATTGCCAAGCTGCTATTGGTTTACAGCGTCTTTCTTTGTTCTCCTTTTCCAAACTGGGAAAATTGTCAAATTGTGGTGACAGTCACCAGTTTTGCTGCAATTACATTGATCCTCAGACGACCAAAAAAAGGCCGTGAGCCATGGCGCCAGGCACGACCCTTAAGGGCCGTGAAGAGTTGGTAAATATCCGCGACGAGTTCAACAGTGACCGGGCATCGTACTTGTTTGCTTACCCCGGCAGGGTGGTCGTAATTACTCATACCTAGGAAATGCATTTGTCGCTACTGTTGAGGTGCAGGGGTTACTAGTGACGTGGGTCAGCTTTCTTTAGGCCACGAGAAGGAAAACAAAAGGCTGTGGCGTCGGGACGACCAAGGAAAGCGCACACAAACAGGCAAACAACAAGCAAGAGACTCCTGTCGTCAGAACCGGACATGGCAAGTCTCAAAGTGGTAATAAACATTGAGTCATATCAAAGCAACGGGTCTTAAATCGCATTTATGCTAACATAGGAAACGCGTATATAGCAGAGATACTTCATAAGCTTTAGCTAAAGCAGCACCTTACCTAGGCCTCACCTTTGCTGCAGGTTTGCGTCGAAGTCAGCAGTATGTGGCGACTCAAAAGTACGTTAGACTATCATAAATAACAAGTGCGTTCTTTACTTTGGGCGGGTCAACAAGTCCACACGCACAATGGCATTCACTCATAAAAGCTTAGGAGAAAGTGTTATTTCCCCGAGCGTGGCGACGTTTCCATCTGTTTACGTCGTCTTTTGTAAAATAGTAAAATACTTTCCGTGAGCCAAAAAAGACGGTTGTTTACATCTGACTCAATAGCTAACTCTTTATCTATGATAATCGAAAGTTTCACGAACATTTATAGGGTAAGACGACATGTCAACATTCTCTGTTCGTTGTCTCCTAGCAACAAAAATGTATTATTTGTGAACCATTGTTTCAAGATTAGGGGAGAGCACACTTCAAATCCGGGTAAATTATCTTCCCTACCAATGTTTTTCATGAAATGTTGTAATGGATAAAATGACAAATTTAATTTCATGACTCGTTGGGATCCTTAAAATGGATCAAATAGACGAAATTGATGGAAGTTTTAGTAAACCTTTGGCTGGAAGCTGAGCTAGCTAGAGCTCATTTGCACCAGATGGGAAATGTCGTTTGATTTTTTAACTGTTTTTACAGACGGTCTTAGCTAGCTATAGCCGGCCTTGGTATGTCCGTAAGCAAATCTACAGGCCATTTGAAACTGACATCTTCATGAACCCCGAGGCACGGCCGCTCTCTCATTCTCTCTCTCTCTCTCTCTCTCTTCACCTTCTCTATCGCTCTCTCTTTCACTCTCACACATACACAGAGATAACTTATGCATTCCTGCACGTCTGGCATGTCTAAATGGTAAGGCAAAGCAGAAAAAAATGGCATGAGCTCTTAGCTACAAGTCTGCATTGCAACATGGAGAATTTAAGTGTTTACTAAAGGTAAAAGTAACTAGTATTAATCATTCACCATCACGTACGCCATGTAGCAATGAACAAGACTGTGAGACGCCTTCTCAGCCTTGACAACTAAAAAGTTTGTTTTGGTCTTGAAAAGTTGGCGGCGACACCACTGAGTAACAAACATATGGTTCTAGTTTTGGCCGACACAAACGCTATGGAGGGCGTGTGGACTTCATACTTACCTCTGGCACTGGCCATTGCTTCTCGGTGACCTTCTCAGTGAAGTAACGACAGGAGAATAAACACTTAAGAAGTGTTGGTTATCAGAACGTCCCACGATTAACGACTCTTGTAAACCGTTACTGTGACGACCCTGGCGGGGCAGGAATACTTGTGTACATATTTACCTCTGCATAAAGTCCGCCTGCTAGCTGCTGCTGCTCGCAGTACGAGGCTCCAGTCACGTCAGTGTTAGTCCGAGAGGAACGCGTTGTTTACGGATCCCTTGGCTCGATGTATTTGAACAGCAATCGATCAGTCAACATGTACATCAATGAACAGACCCCGAGCAATCGGTTAAAGATTAATACTGAACACACCGCCCTGTTGACCGCCCTGGGTATAACCTCCTGGTTTGAACGGGCTGACTGATGGGGTGAACTCTGACCTCTCATTGAGTTGTTTATGTTCCAAAAATCAACAGGTCGTCGTGAAGCCAGGGACGATATCTCCATCACCAAAGGGGAGGGGGGTTTCTCTAAAACGTTCTCTCACACGGTTGAGAAAATGTGTATAGTACAAATGTAGAAGGGATATTATACAAGTAGGGAGAAATAGTTTTTATGTAATGCCTATGGGTCATATTTATAGATATTAATAGATTAAACCAATAGGCAAGATTATACCGTCAACATATAGTTTATTTCTAACACAACTGTATCTTACAATACAAAGTGTTTCCGACAACACAAAATAATGTCCATTGACTATTGGTTAGTATGTACATTGTCTGGTACTGAGATAACTTTGAAGTATCTCCACACAGAAACACGAAACAGATGAGAAGGATCTTAAGAGAGTTTGTTAGCAAAATAATGTACTTTCAGCTGCACCACGAACGACGAACCCTACTTTAGTATATACGCCAGCATATATACAAGTATCGCCATCTTCTTCTTGCTTTTTAAGCAAGTCGTTAAAGTTAAATAAAATATAGTCTTGCATTTACATGATGTGCGCGATATTCCCTTACAAATACAATAGAACTATTGCTAGAAACGATCTCCGACTAGCAGATTATATCAGTACTGCAGTAGAGAGCCTCTTCCAGGTTCCCCAGGCTGCTAGAGAATAGTAAAATAAAAAAAAAGTAGTATGCCAGAGTTAGCCGGCCAAAGACGCACGACCTGCAACCTAGGGATTGTACTCATCTGGTCGGCTAAATGCTCAGGCATCCTGTTCAATCTATTTGGGTGATTTGTACCATTTTTCGAGCACGTCGGTGAACGTTAGACATCCAGGTAATAAGATACGCGCCATAACCAGTTACTGAAACAACTGGATATGATTTTGGAAACGATCAGACGTTTCAGATAGCATCCAATACCTTTCGTCATCAGTGACACTACAGACTTGCAGATCGTGCTTATAAACCTGCCTTTCTCCTGCAAGTCTCTAGTGTCACTGACGAAAGGTACTAAGTAGTGGATGCTACCTGAAACGTCTGACCGCTTCCAAAATCATATCCAATTGCTTGAGTAACTGTTTCTAGCGTATTTTTCGAGCAGCCTGGAGAGCCTACTAGAGGCCAATTTTAAGTAACTTGGTACGTCATTACGCTGAATCTGACTCGTGTGCCGTCTTCCTCCATTCCAGTACCTCCAGCACGGTGTACGTCGTCATGGACACGCCCAGGAGCGACAGGAGGATGTAGATTTTGACGCTTGCGCAGAGGTAGCCGCCGTAGCTGAACGCCACGGTGTAGCCGATGGCCCCCCAGAAGCCGTCCATGGAGAAGGCGACCTCCTGACAGCCCGGGAACAGCACGCCGTACAGGGCTACAGGAGGGAACACAGGTGGTCAGTTTTGTTCAAATTTTGAGTTTACATCTACACTTTATGTATCACAGACATGTTACCCAATGCCAGTGATGACTTTTAGAAGCTAAAATATTAAGCTTTAACAAATAATGTGGCCGTGCGACGTTTAGAAGGAATGTTTGTTTTCTCTTGATCCACAAGGTACAGGATGTAGTATGTAGAACAACATGTTAAATGTAAACATCATTAAGAGATACAACTAATCGTTGTGTACTTTAAGCTCTCGACCACCGGATATATCGTTACAGCGCGGTCACATTCGTCATAGGCCGTCGTGTGATGCATTTTCAAGCTGGCTATCGCAAACATACCACCGACAAGGATTTATTAAAGACAGCGCTAGCGTTTCTCGTACGCGTAACAAAACAGGTTAGGCATCCAGGTAGACAAGATTAGACATCCAGGTTATAAGATACGCCCCAAACAGTTTTGAGTAACTGAGATACGCAAAAAAAAAAAACAGTTTTGAGTAACTGTTTTTTTGGGCAAAACAGGTGAACTTTGTACGACATATGTACGGCTATCCTAACAATGCAACAGATTGCGATCGTGCGACAACCTACAGTTGATCTGTGTCTGCCAGATGGCGTCCGCCACACCCCACAGTCCGACGTGCACGAAGAAGACGGCGGCGTACTGAGGGTGGGGGGTCATGGCCAGCAGGTGCACCATCAGGGACAGGTTCAGCAGACCGCCGACAGCTACCAGCGCCTGTCTGCAACGGAAGGGACAAAAATATTTAGCCATTTGTTATCACTATAATATTAGTAAGACGAATGATCACTCGACACTGTATGCACAACAATTACATTCAGTCCACAGTTTTACTATGTTTAGACATTATACATTATGAATGTTCATATTCTCTTACCTCGGAACCCAGTTCCGAATTCTGCCGATGAGAAACGCGGAGAAAGCGTCGCAAACCCCGTAACAGATCATCACGTAGCCGATCCAATGGACTCCCAGGGTACAGCCGACGAAGGCCTATATAAACATAGTTGAAAATACATAATATTTATACTTATGATTACATGTAACGTTACAACGGTAGCTGCCGATGTTGAGGTCTAGATCTGTGGAACATTATATGTACTATACATGGAATGTGCATGTATGATAAATGTAAAATATATAGCCTATTGCCCTACTCTCGCCACTTTGATATGTTGCTTTGTGTAAGGCTGAAAGATGTATCTACTGTCACATACCCGTGTGAAGACGGCCACGTTGAGGGCTTGCTGCATGGTGCCGTACGTGATGAGGGGGATCAGAAGCATCATCCTCTTCTCCTGGAACATGAACCTCCAGGCGACGATGAATCGGTCACACAGCAGTCTCCAGTCGGTCGCCGAGGCTTCCTCCTCCCGTTCAGCACCTGGAGACTCCGCGGGGGCTTCAGCTGGAGGCTTGCGCTTGCAAATATCCAGGCAATGAGGCAACTCCGTCTCTTTCATCCTGTCGGCAAACAGGGCCATGATGAAAACTGCCAAGACGCCGCAGGCTAAATAGATGCTCATCAGGGTACGGCGGAGATGGTCGCCCTGCGGAAGGGTGAAGCTGACATCGCCGGCATCCGGACAGTGAGAAGCCCCACAGTGAGACAGGTTCGCTTCAGGTACAGGTCCGGGTCTGTCTGCCCCCTGCTGGAGGACCAGCGAGGAAATCAGGTTGCCCCAGATCTGGGACGTTTGAAAGATGCCAAAGAAGATGCCGAAGAATCGGGTGATGACCACAGATAGGTTCTCTTTACTCACTTGTGCGTATTTGATGGCCAGTTCGGTAAGATACGCGCCATTGGCTGCCCAGAGACAGGCAGCAGCCGCGCCGACCAATACAGAAGCAGGGATCAGAGTGTAGAACTCTAGCCAGTAGTTTGCAATGGTGAATATAACATACGACATCATGGACCCAGTGATGGTCCACTTCAGACCAAACAGGCCCATCACTACCGGCGCTAGGAAGGGACAGGAGAGGATAAGAACGCCGTAGAGGACGGCGAGAGAAGTCTGACCGATGTTCCGGTCATCATTGATGCTGCTCTGCAGGTTCTGAAGAGACTGGTAGGCAGTGAAGAGCAAGAGAAACCCAAAGCTTTGTACAATGAGATTGATCATGAGTCTTCGTTTCTTGGCGGCAGACGACGCTCTGTTGGAGGTGACTGAAACACGCTGAGGACGACTGCCCTCCACAGCCTCTGTGGCAGGCGTGTCGTTGACGTTGTTATTGTCTAAGTTGTTGTTTCTTGAGTTTTCGGGAGGCATGGGCTCAAGAGGAATCGGCGGTTGTTCCTCACCGGCCAGGGGGAAGTCAGAAAAGAGGTCCGTGAGCTGATCGAGCTCTGCTTCATCCAGAGTAGCCGCTCGAGTCATCCTCATGTCCGAAAAGTCAAAGGCGACGTTGTCGGTCCCCTCTACGGAACAGAAAGGAGGAAATGGGTATAAAAACCTGGGGTTATTGCAAACCATTATTGGTTATAAATCATTACAGTTTTTAATGATGCTATCCAAACAACGTGTCATGTAATAAGACAGATGAAAGGGTAGCCTGCCAGTTATGTAAATATTTTGGCAATTTGCCTAATAGCACCTCCATAAGAGGTAAATTCATTGGAGTGTTTGTGAAAACCTTTGATATTCAAGCTATTAAATATTTATGTTTTTACACGAGCTTAACATTTAACAACACCCCTACTTGGCTGTAAGTTTTAAAGAATATATGGCTGGGAGAGTGTGCAACTGTTGCAACATATTTTTGTGGAATGGAATGGTTATATTGAGTCTTGTTCGGCTTGCGCTATTACCATTGCTGGTGGTCCTTACGTAAATCATTACAGCAGCGTCATAGTAACCCTGTCTCAATCCATTCATACTCGGGACCTCGTATTTACACTGGCCGCCCCCGAATCACATAAACAAACGGAGCAACATGGTGTTCAAAAGAACAGTCTGGAAATTTTGAGACTGGAGTTGGTTGTCATATGTAAGAGACTACTGCATATGCTACTGTAGCGTTGAATTGTAACGAACGATTTTTCCCCATGACATCTTCATCATGAGACTGAAACATAAATATTTGTTCCCACTATTTGCACTGAATTGATCCATTCTGAATAGATTCATGTATTGTGTATGGAACATATACAGGCGATTTTTGGCATATTTTGAGCAATGTAAAATCTCTTAATTAAAGTCACAACACTGCTTCTGGTGCGAAGGATAAGAGGAAAGCAATAAAAACAATTCAACAACATTTCACACATACTCACAGAACGTAAGTGCAACTGTTGACACTTGTTACCGTTTTTGAACTGCAGTCTTACCTTCGTAAACCTGTCTTTCTGTTCCGTCCATGATTTTTCTTGCAGTTCGGAAGCCGTACTAGTTCAGGACCTAAGTTCGAATGTTTATCCAGAGTAAACATACACACGGACAACGTTTAGCGGCATGTGACACTTCAGACGCCCGCCTAGCTCCGCGGCTCTGGCGCAAGGTGGTCCCGGTGTGACCGGTCGTGCCGCTCTGTCCCGCCTTTATCGGTAACCTATTGTTGACTGTCGTTAAACAGGAGCAAGGCTGGTCGGGCTGTTTTTCTCACATTCATCTGGCGCGAGTGACGGCTTCATTTCTGATGTGTCCAGCAGAGGGGGTCAAATTTACCGTACCTTCTTTGTTTGACTGAATACTGATAGCGATTGACTGGCTGATCTTTGATGCAATGTGCTAAAGTGAGCTTTAATTGCGGCCTTGGGGATTGCTGCCCCATTGTCACCCCCTCCTCCATTCAACAGCCCAACAACAGCAAGTCTAAAGTAATGAGCAAGAATGAGATATATTACCCATGAAAATGAATTTTATTTCGCACACCCTTATTATTTATAAAAGAAATGACATTACTGGAACAAATAATGATTCTGCTCTATTATACGACAGTTTTAAATGTATACAAAGTCATATATGTGATTCGATCTGTCTCTATATATATACCAAACCAAAATATCAAAATTAACGTCAGACTCTCTATAATATGTATAATACCAAAAAGTAACTAATATGAATACAACACTCAAGGTTAGCGTTTGTTAATACTCTCCTATTGTGGGAGGCCTGGTACTGTACTATATAACGTACCTGCTACAGAGAACGATAAGGCAATACAAACAATGTCACACGTAGGTAGCTATGCTCATTTTTGACCCCAAGGTCATTCAGTTGATCTATTTACATTGGAGACAAAGTCGGAAATCCTTCTCAGTCGTGTGCCGTATTTTTCTCAACCTCTGTAGCGTCTCCGGCTGTCTCTCCATCCTCCTTCGACCTTCTCTTCTCCATCAGTTCCACAACGCCGTACGTTGCCATGGAGACGATGAGCAGGGCCAGGAGGATGCCGATCTTGACGTCAGCGCAGAGGTACCCACCGTATGCAAATGAGATGGTGTAACTGACGGCGCCCCAGAAACCGTCCATGGGGAAGGCGACCTCCTGTTGTCCCGGGAACAGCACGCCGTACAGGGCTGGGGTGGCGGGAAGAATGGCGTCAACAAGGCAAGGTAGCTAAACCGGGCGTTTTTGTACTACCCTAATGTATTGAATTTCAATGTGGGTCAAACAATCCGACCGATCGACCGACCGACCGATTGACCTGTCCCCCCACCGACGCAATGACCGACAGAACGACTGACTGGCCGACCAACATAGCTAGCAACTACAAAAGCACAACACAAGAAAACAAACAAACAAACAAACAAACAAACAAAAAATAAAACAAGCAAAACATATTATCAGTATTTTTGCAATGGGTTCATTAATGTTATTGTGTCGATACGTCCCACTTCTGTCTATACCGGGGCTTCGGTACATGCGAGAGTGAGAGCCAGGGTAAACAAAAGAAGATGGCACGTGCACCCAGGCTATACTTTCTGACTGACAGAAGTACTTTAGATGTGTGAAAACCTACAGTTGATCTGTGTCTGCCAGATGCCGTCCGCCACACCCCACAGCCCGGCGTGCACGAAGAACAGGACGGTCAGGGAAGGGTGCGGTTTCACCGTCAACATCTCAATCATCAGGGCCAGGTTCAGCACGGCGGCTGTACCGAAAAGGACCTGTCTGGAACCAGAAAACAAAGGCAAGTTGTTTGAATTTTTACATGAACAACTCGCCTTAAACATAGTTTTTGCATATTTATAGCTATCAAAAATCTATCAATTGGTTTGTCCATCAGGTTTACTACAGAAGCCTAGCTCTTTCTAATTCAAATACCTTTTGGAAATTACTGTAGAGGAAATTACTGTACTAAAGTTTTGATGTGTATCCCCTTCCCACCATAGCTCAGTTATATAGAAATTAGCAAAGTTTCTTTTCTTGTTTGGGGACAATTTCACCTTGGTATCCATTTCCTCAGCCTGCCCACCAGGAGCGCACTGATGGCGTCACACACGCCGAAACAGATCATGACCCAGCCGATCCAGTGGATACCCAGGGTACAGCCCACAAACGCCTGTGTTAAGAGAGATAAGAAAAGCAGACATTTGTTAGTTTCAAAATACTGCACATCTAGGAGATAACGTGGTACCTACTTATTAAATAACAATACTTGTTTGTAGATAGCAGGGATAGCACATAGTCACATATGATAATACAATTATACAATGTTATGAACCGAAAGAGGTGCTCTTTTTGGCACATACTTTATAGTGAAGAGTATGGCTGCTGTAAAGTACATAAACTCTAATGGTTCTATATTTAACGCCCTATGAAAGTCTCATGTATTACCTGTGTAAAGATGGCGACATTAACACCCTGTTCCATGGTGCCGTACATGATGAGCGGGATGAGCAGCATCATCCTCTTCTCCCGAAACATGAACTTCCACGCAGCCAGGAACCTCTCACAGAGATGTCTGCAGTCAGGTGACGTCTCATCTTCACCATCCTCACTGCCACCAGCCTGCCCATCGTGTGTATGTGATGGATCGTCGCCTCCTCCGCACGGTTTGCATGTCTTCAAGCACGAGAAGAGTCCCTTCCCCGCCTCCTTATCGGCAAACAGAGCCATCAGTAGTACAGCTAGGATACCGCAGGCCAGGTAGATGCTGATGAGAGTCACGCGCAGACTGTAGGGCGGTATGACGAGGTTTCCCCCGCCGCCCCCAGGACAGTTGGCCGCGCCGCAGGACGAGACGTTAGCCGCGGATGGAGCGCCCTGGTCCGCCGCTCCTTGCTGCAGGACGAGGGAGGAGATCAGGTTCCCCCAGACCTGAGACGTCTGGAAGATGCAGAAGAAGATACCGAAGAACATGGAGATAGCGGCTGCCTTGTCCTGACCAGTCACCGCAGCGTAGCGGGTAGCCAGCCGTGTCAGGTACGCCCCGTTGGCGGCCCAAAGGCAGGCTGCCCCCACCCCGAGGAGAATTGATGCGGGAATCACGGTGTAAAACTCGGACCAGTAGTTCGCAATAGTGAAGATCATATACGTGACCATGGACCCGGTGATGGTCCACTTCAGTCCCAGGTACCGCATGGCTACGGGAGCGAGGAACGGGCCGGCGGGGATGAGGGTTCCGTAGATGACGGCGAGAGATGTCAGGCCGAGGTTGCGGGCTCTGTTGATGCTGCTCTGGAGGTTCTGCAGCGACTGGTACGCAGTGAAGAGGAGAAGGAAGCCGAAACACTGAACGAGGAGGTTGATTATGATCCGCCTTTTGGTTGCCGATACGTCGTCTGGAGACAGTGCCAAGGTTTTGATATCATGACTGTCCTCTTGAGCATCTGCATCCAGAGGCACGGGCTGCAGTTCTCCCCCTGTCGGGGAGAGGGCGGTAGACATTTTGGTGAGGTGATTGGCAGAAAGCGCAGGGATTTCTGGAGGCGAATCACTGGCGAAGGACGCCTTCCTGGTCATTGTAAGATCAGAGAGATCTAAAGCACCATTGCAGACACCTAGAGGCGGAATAGATTGCACTTAGATGATAGAAATCACTTATGTTTTCTCGTTGATGATTGGGCCTCTTGTTTATTACTGATTGCACACAGGTTCATTTCATTTCATTTATTTATTTTACCAGCAGAATACACTCAGGCCAGGTTACATAAAAAAACTGTTTTTCAGGTAGTGCTGGGCATACAATACAAATAGTTATTCATCACCATTGATAATAAACTTCAGCAGCCGTACCCATTATAGACTCAATAACCACAAGCGTAGCTCTTACAAAACAAAATTCCAACACATTGCACGGTCTCTATTTGTCGCCACTTTTGTTGTTGTAGCATATCCGTGTACTTTCTTATCAGTTAGTCTCTGTTTACACTGCATATGTGTGGGCTCTGAGAGGTTATAGACTTCGAAATTCACAAGCACTGGACATTTTATGACGCCGCAAGCGATCGATAGTTTCCTCCGACATTGTTTACTTATATCAGCTCATCAAAGATAGTACAAAAACCACAAGAGTCATGCAAATGCATAAAAGTCATACAAGTGTGCCGTCAGCATCGTTCTGGAAGAAACGTAAACATTGCCTTGCAATAGTTCTACGATATGTAGTTCCTTTGATTGGAATACTTCTATAAAGAACGAAGATGATGTGGATAGATTAGTAAACAGAATGGTCATCTTCAGGCTTAGGAGCAACTTTTCAAGAGTGTACCATTGGAAAATGTCTTTTCAGTTTTATCTTGTCAATGCAAGTTGAAACGTCACCAACCTTCAAGGTGTTGTCTCTTCTTCCCCATGCTTCTTCGATGGATGGTATTCCGCTGAGAAAAAGTCTAAAACTCGCAGGTTGCCGAGAAAGATTTATTGTACAAGTGTTGTCATCCGCGGTGCCTTTTGTGTTTGTCACCCCCGGTGTGCCCCCAGAGGTCAGGTAGGGTTTAAGCGGTGGTACCGCCGCGAAAGGTGCGCTGAGACGATAATAAGTAACTCATTGGCTAACAGGTATACAATGAGATGCCTACACAAAAGTTTGGCTCGAAGTTGATGAGTGCTTGCAGAAAAAGGGAGGTGTGTTGCCACATGCACATAACTATCTGCAGTTTTTCAGTCGTATGATTAGATTGTGATGTGCTGGCCATGTATATAGATAGTGACATATCAAGTGACAGTCCCCTCCCCCAAACTCATTGTTGGAGGAAAATTAAAGGAATTGTGTGAAGTCCTAGCGGGTTTTGTCCTCCTCCTACTGACTCATGCGGATATGAAATGCATTGCAGCTGATTTAGCCAGGAACACTTAAGAACTCCCGATTTGGGTATACACTGCTGAAATCCAGTAGGATCAAACTTCGCTTTCTTTATGGATACTTAAAGGCATTCAAATCCAAGATGCAGTAAAAGGTCACTTGGGGTGATCGCAATTGTTTTCAGTATTAGAGTGCAAAAAATGAAACAAACAAAACAGTGCACATTTCTATTCTGTATTCAAATCAGGGAAACATGGGTATCCAATGTAAAACAATAAACTATACGGTGAGAAAATTAATAGGATTAAGATTTGGGAATCACCTACGCTTCACGCCTTTATTCTCATTTTATGATAACTAGAAATCTGAATGCATTGATCATCAAATATTATAATCTTCCACCTCCTTATTTACAACAATATTGCAATTGAATACAATCAAAATGTATCATTTACAAAGTGTGATATAGCTCTCATCATTAAGCTAACAGGTGGTAAAGAGAATGATAGCAATCGTCGATATATCAAATCATGAAAAGCTTAAACTTTTAGTACATGTTTACAAAATACTTAACATGGTTTATTCAACATCAAAATAGTGCCATTCCAAATATATTGATGTGAGAAAGTGAATGTCTTCTACTCATTGATCATCACCATGCACACAAATCAACATTTGCTCTGTGATAGACTTATTCATATATCACTTTTTCATTAAAGGCTTGATTTCATTTAGTAACTGTTCACAGTTCACAAAAATACACTTTATAAGGTCTATTAAATCCCAAATTGATACCATACCAAATACAAGACATGCGACTGTCTTCTGCTCATAGATCCTTACTACCATTTCAGGTCATTTGTGCAGAAGCTAATGATATGAAATAGATAGAACTGTCCATGGAACTGTGAAAGGAGTAAATCTACTACGTTTACTCGCGAATGTAACCTTTAAAATTTCTTGACTGTTCTGTACCATATGCAGGAAAGCAGTAGACTGGGTGCCTTCCTCCGTAGTTTCCACCGGCTTCCTGTCGCTGGTATCCAACGACATTAGGAGAGCCGACGGAAACTATGCCAAGGGTCTGTGCGGCTGCCATTCGGCGCCACAAGGTGACCTCAATACGACTTTCCCCAACCGAAGTTAGGTACCCATTCACACCTGGGTGGAGTGAGGAAAGTCGTGTAAAGTGCCTTTCCCAAGGGCACAACGTCGGGGCGCATGTTCAGACATGCCCCGGGTACGACTCGGAATCGAACCCGGGTCTCCCCGGTTCATAGTCGATTGCTCTAACCACTACACCACCCGACGCCACATCTTGTGAACAAGTCAACGGATCAAAGTAGTTTGAACACGTATGAAAAAAGATTACGGAAGATTCAACCTGGTCCGATACACCAATTTACAGTTTTTCGATCTTCAAGATCTCTCAACTACTTTTTCATTTCATAAAAACAGCATTTTTTCCTATTTATACTTGCTGACAGCGATGATTAAGAACCTTTCCCCGACCCCCAACCAACCAAGGTTGGCTGAAGTTCGGGTGCAGTCTGACTAGATGTGGGCCACCCCTACCATTCTATACGAATTGAACCGACATTGAGTTAAATTTGACCATTGCTGACCTATTCTTAAACACTAGCCAACTACCTGCCAACCATGACCGAAACATTCCGCCTAAATGTTTTAAACATTTTGAAACATTCTGCTGGCAAAGTCGAACAGTAGCCGACCTCGACGAACAACAGCCAACCAAAGCCGACCTTACTTCCGACCTACTCCCAACCATGGCTGGAGGGGGTTCGGTAGTGTTCTGGAGAACATATTCAACAATGTGTGGCAGGAGCTTAAGAAAAATTATAGTTCCAATTAATCAGCAAACCGGCTTACAAATTTGTTCACCCGCTCACCATGTTCACTGCAGCGTAGAGCTGATCCTCATCGTCTTCGAACACATCATATTTGATCAGCCAATCTTTCAACAAATTCCTCACCCCTTCTGGCCCTACTATACCTCTGCTCTCTAAGTCATCAGCGCTGTCCACAAGCTCCGTGAAGAGGATGTTGGCGGGGTCGATGTTTAGATGCTTCACGTAGTCCTCCCTGTAAGCATCTGTAGTCTCCTTGTCCTAACAAGTAATAGGTTCAAGGGTTATCTTGTGTAGAAGCTATCCGCCGTACATGTTTCCAGTCTGACAAAGAGGAACAATACTCAAACGTGTCGATTCTTAACTGGTGGTCGGTATGTAGCTCTAGTACCATTCATGGTAATGCATGTTATCTGGTTACGATGGTACGGCAATGTCAAAACGAAATGGAAAGTACGGGGAAGTACATATTGATGCATACCTTAAGTGCTACCTTGTACAGGCCACAGTGGCTGATGCAAAGGAGAATGGTACAGTTAAAACGGCCCGCCAGGACACGAGCTTTCTCCAGCTGTGTGACGTGATCCGTGCTGGCGTCCCCTTGAAACGGCATGACGAGGATGAGGATGCTCGACAGCCCCCCGCAGCTGTTAGCCAGGTTGGCAACTTGTTTGTCGATTGCTGTCGTGCCTGGGAAGTCTATGATCTAAACAAACAATGCACAAATTTGCGCCTTGATGAATCAAGAATCAAACAAGTAAACTATTCAAATATGATCGTTTCAAATATTGCAAGACTTCTTACCACCATTCTATCCGTTCCCCTTGCCTTGTAAAGCCTTGGGACTGTGGTATGAACTCTGTACCCCTTCTCCGGTACGGCTACATCCCATACCTTCTCGATGAGCGTGGATTTACCAGCATTCTGTGGTCCAAACAGGCCAACGAAACAGGACCTTCGCAGGTGTTGGCGAATCTCAAACAGGTCACAAGCCATCTGACAGCGACGCAGAGCCTCTTTCTGTGACTTTTTTGTTGCATTTTGCAGCTTCTTGGAACCTTTGAATGGTTTATGTTTCAATATCTCATCTGTATCTTTGTTCAGAAACTCGAGACCCTAAATACAGCAAAAGCACATAGCAACAAAGTGTGTTAGAATCCTAAATTAGCTGTGACTGTCAGAAAGATAACCAACAGAGCAGTGGAAAGTCATGATGTACTAATATTTGCTACTTGCTTCTGTTATTAACGCATGGTGGCATTGAAAAGGTGCACTTAGGTGCACCTGTTCCACAATGCCCAATGCCTCCATGTATATTATGTATGTGGTCAATCGTAATAAATAAATAAACGCTAGTGAGAAACCGCAAAACAAAAGTAACAAGCTAATTACATAATTGAAGATCCTTTATCTATCTTACGGTTAACATGCAAATAGGCATAAAATGAATATAAATGATTTTGCCACCTCGTATCGCTACTTTGAGTAGACTTTGACTTGATGCGCATTTAGAGAGTTATGGCCTTTGTTAGAAATTATATCGCCGTAAACAAAAGCTAACCTTGTATTTCTTGTACAGGGCGCGTTCCAAGTTATACACCGTTCCATCATCGGTGCCGCAGCTCACTTCCCGCTTGTTCGGTGGTTCTGGGAGTTCCTGTATCAGCATTCTAAAAGTCATAAGGGTAACAAATTTCCTCGTATTAATCCATATCGTCGAAACTTCGTGCTGATATACCTGTCCCTATTGTCCTCTCTACTTTGGGAAAGACTAAAACTCTTACATTAACATGCATTAATATATGCAAATAACTTGATCAATGTCTAACCTGAGGACAGCTTGGTAGTTTTGCTCTCCCTTACTGAAGTACCAAATAGCAGCACCGACAGCGGCACCAGCCGCACCGACAGCACCGGCAGCAGCGACACCACCGGCGGCACCGGAAGCACCGGCAGCGACAGCGGCACCGGCAACACCGGCAGGGCCGGCAGCGGCACCACCGGCAGCAGCGGCACCGGCAACGGCAGCGGCACCGCCTGCCTCACCGGCAGCAGCTGCCGCTATAAAGGGTCCAGGGGCAGCGACAGCGGCACCCGCTGATCCAACCATAAGGACAGCTCCTCCTGTAGCTGGATCATTAAGATGTACATGTATAAACATTGTCTATTGCTTGTCAGTGGAGTGGACATGTCAATCGTAGAAACACTTTTATCGCAAATACATTCTATGCAGCTCTGTGTTATAAACGAAAAGCCAACGTTTAGCCATACTGATTAAGTATAAAGGGAATCCATTAAATGCCATGAGCGGGAAGAGAAGTCAATTTTGGTGTGATATCTCAAGAACTCATTTATGCAAAGCATTTGTTCTGAGGCAAAAAAAATGTCATAGCCTGACCGACAGAGAATACGGCATTCTCTGTAGGACATGCCGTCATTACCTGCAACAACAACACAAGCAATGGTCACCAGCCCTTTGAGGGATGTTAGCCATTCTAACAGTGACGAAGGGTACTCCACTTTCAAGTATTGACCGAATTCTTCTAAGATTTCCTTTGCCACTTGGTCCAAGGATTTGGTGTCCAGGTCGTTTAGTGTCCTTGCTTTGTGAATTATGTCACGAAGCCTCACCACGTCTTTCCCTATAAATAAACGTAATAAATTATAGACACCATATTCAAACAGTTTATATGCTCTGAGTCTTCAAATACCCGTTGTATCTTTGAAAAGCTATTTAGCCTATCAAATGTTTTTAAAACTGATGTAAGGATGGTGCGCGTCTTTTTATTAAATGTTCAGTACGTACGTACTTATTTTTAAGAGAATTCTCCGGCTACGCATTGGGTCTGTTCTATAGTTCCCTATAAATCTGTGCGAAGAATATGTTTTGAAGATATCGAAAAAGTGTTTCAGTTCTACTGCTAATAGCAAGTATGGTTTGGAGCAATATGACAACATGACACAAAGATGGTAAGATGTAAGTACTTACCTTCCCTCACTAATTTCCTCTGACCATCCAGACGATTTAGAAGCTTCAATACAACATTTGACTCCATCGCAACCTTTCTGTTTGATGCCAGCAAGACATTGGACAGACTTTGCCTAATAGCTTTGACGAGGACGGCTGGTTTCAGGTGGTCAACAGAAGATTCCGACAGTGTTAGGCCTCTTGCTTCCTGAATTATGACACAGTACAGGAATCCTTCGACTTGTAAGATATTGACTTTGGTTAGAATAGCAACTTCAAATGGCTAAACAGTACTTGCAATTACATTTGGAGACTGCGCTGTGATGCCATGGTAGGAATGAATATGCACTATATCATGCCCAATGTAGGCTATCGTGAAAGGGCATTGGGAAGGTGAAAATTAATGTTCAGTGCGTGTGACAAAAGTAAAAATTATCATGATCACAGCGATAGGATCAGTCGATTAGTTGTTTCCCATACTTGCTTTATTTGACAGACGTCTTCTGTAAAAATTATTCTATAGTGCTCACCAATGAACAAACATGGACCCAATGTACAACAATGTGCAAGCATATAGCGAAACAAACACTTTCTAATGAGACGGACAGCTAGCTTTAGTGGCTTACCTTTATCATCGCCGGTTCGATCTGTATGTCTGTTACATCAAAATGTGTCGTGATGTGGACCTTTGGTACGCCATCGAACGGTATGCCCTCTTCCAGCTCACACTCCAAAGTAACCTCGTCATCATTGACATCCATCTGGATGCTCTTCTGTAGATCAGCAGGGATTCCTTTACCGAAAAAAAGTTGAAAAACCTACATTCTTTGTGTACACATCAACTTTCCCCTGAATAAATGTCACTAATTATCCTGTTTTATATTGACTTGGATCATCTAGAATTGACTATATCACTTTATTTTATCACAACACCAATGCACAGTTCTGTACCTGTGAAAGGAGTTTCCCCCAAAACAAAGAAGTCGAGATGTTTTCCATTAATCCTCATTCGGAGTTTCTTCTGTTTTCGAGAGCCCTCGGGACCTATTGAGTGTAAAAACAAGTCAATGGAAACTAAAGTAAGCAACAACATTTGGTTTGGTTGATGATGCTACCTTGTATGCCGTTAAAAGACTTTCTGTTCCATTGTTTCTTTAACCCTATGTAACATATACAAGTAAAAAGGATACCCATACAAAACGAGTATAGGAACTTACTTAGCACTTATACACTTAAAGTAATCAAGAAATCAGGTTACAGATACTAAAAATGAGTTATCATGATAAGTTAAAGTGACATTTCAAGTTCGATAATTCCTAATCGAGATGCAGGTGATTACATGGCATCATCACTTGGAAACATGTAGTTTTGTATGTTGTGCAACTTGCCTATGATAGTCAAAGAGACAGCTTCGATGGTCAACACAAACGGATTGTACTGCACCACTTCCCCGGCTCTTGCAGCTTCGCGCTTGACAGGAAATTCCGTTCGACCTCCCTGCGATGTAGTCTTGGGGTAGACAGATGCATATTCACTGATCTTGTGCTCATTTAGTTTGCTCACTGGAATAGATACAACACATGGCAGTCATATATGATGTATGATAGCAGGTTTCCAAAGCGCATGTAGCTAATGTTTTGATGACGCAAGATGTATTAAATGGAATTTCAATATACATTTCAAATTGTCTAAAAGATATGATATATATATATATCGTGTGAATACAAGTAGGCAAAATTGCATCCTTAATATATAAATATGCTTATATATAAGTTAAGTTATATATAAATATGCAGAAATTATGAAAGTTTTTATCGGAAAAACTGCTACATTTAATTTAGAAGACACTTACTGGAAAACTCCGATTTCCAAGTCTCTCCCATGGCCTGGAGGACGTCCTCTGCAGCCTCTATGTAGGACACATGCCACTGGTTCTTCTGCCCTTCGCCTGGAGGTCTGTAGTGGGTGATGAGCATGTACCATCCCAGAGGGGTGTACTGCAGGGTGTCATCCAACGCTTTCATGTGACTTCTTACCGACTGGCTGATGTCTTCGAGGTACGTCGGGAGTTGGTCCACCGTAGCGAAGGCTGTAGCCGCGGTGGCAATAGCTTGGCCGCCGATGCTGATGTATGAGAGTGCCTGTAAACTCATCTTTAGAATCGGCAAGGTCCCATTAACGATCCTCTGGACCTTCAATGAACAAATGCAAAGTCAGACATAAACATGCAAGCCATCAGAAAGTCGATCATTTTAGCAACATAGAAAGCAAATGTTGAGTCCGGAAGCATTTTGTCTAATTGTCTTATTGGGTCTTGCTTTAAACACTGTGATATTATAACCTTGATTATATTACCGTAAACGTATGAATTTGTGTTTACCGTTATGTGTTGATGACATACCTTCTTTGTTCCCACCTCTGCAGCGCATTGGAATGCCTCCGCCAACTGAAGCAACCGCGGTACAGGGTCGTTCTGGTTGACTATGGTCAGGAGGTTGTCGGACAACTCGTGCTTTTCTGCGTACTTGCGCATTTCGCGATCACCAAAGAACGGGGCTCCGATAGCGATGGACACGACCTTATTTGTGTCACGACCGCATCTTGTCAGGTCGGCAAGCATGTTGAGGGTGACAATGTGAGCCACTGCACCTCCCATGCTGTGCCCACACACAACGATACGCGCGCAGTCGTCGGCACCCCTACTATACACGTACTTACGCAGAATAGGGTCGACGGGAAAACAGGAGGCCAACTTCAGGAAGCCGGCGTGACACTTCCCGCCCATGGCAGACTCGCCGTGCGTGCCAGCCGACCCCTGCCAGATAGACAGATCTGACAGTATGTCTTCATAGCTTTGTGTTCCTAAAAAGATAATTTTCAATGTGGAAATAACAGAGAAATCATAAACTTTAATTTGCTTTTCAAATCGTATGGACTGAAATAAAAACATATGGACTGGAATAAAAACAATATTTCAACCATACCTATGGTATGGACTGAAATAACAATATACTCCATCCATATCTATGGTATGGACTAAAATATAAATACCTATACCACCTATAATTAAGTATTTGCACCTTAAGCCCGCATTCATAAGGCAAATTCTTATCGTTCATCCTATACGAAATGTCTGCACAATATGTATTCTAAACGGTGTCACAAAACGCAATACATGTACATTGATTAAACTGAAATATTGCAACAGATACGCATAAATCATATACCTGCAAATTAATCTGATTAAATTTCGTATAACCAATGCTTTAACGTATTTGCATCATGGTTGAAATGTGCACACGTGAGTGATGTTCGCAGAGGTATTGTATATGTCAGGGTAGAAGGTCAGAACTTCCACCCTGACATATACTATGTTTGATTAATGATCCTTTGCCTCAGGAATACGTCACAGTTTTCCCCTTCTTTACTACTAATTTCTTACCTCTAAATGCTATGAACAGCTCGTCCTTATCGTCCGTCTCGGCCAGCATGTAGGTCAGTCTCCCGTACCTGGACACGCAGACTTCCCCGAAGTTGTGCAGACAGAGGTTCTCTGGTTTGTTGAGAAACTGTACGACCTTCTCCGGTCCGTCCTGGTAGATGGCCTGACAGCACATCATGGCCCGCTGGATGTCGTCCATGCCGAGTTTGTTGGACAGACAAGGTGGCATGGCCGAGGTTGGCGCTTTCTTAGATTGCCCATCTGTAAATCCATCATTAAATCGTACTGTTCACATAATACCTTACTGCCTTACAGAAAGTTGTACGAGGAGCCCAATTCAAATGATTACATGAAGTAATCTGTGAAGCATTTACCTGACTGGACAGTTGAGAACTCGTACTCAGCCCCCGGCTCCAGGTCCGAGTACGGTTCCTCGGGGCTCCCCTCGGCGAACACGGCTTCCTGTGTGTCCGCGTCCGTTCTCGTCAGGTGCTTCGGAGGCTCCCTCAGCCCGAACACCAGCACAAGTCGGGCCGGTGTGGCATGTTTCAGCTGCAGAACCATGCGTGTTCCGCTGTCAGTGTGCACAAACGTCGCCTTTTCTGTCATGTTCTGGAAAAGGAAGCCAGTAGATTTACATGTCTGGCACTAACAAGGCAGCAGTACACAGTTTTCGCCTTATGAGGATTTCTATAGTAAAGGAGCCCAAAGTGAGACTATTCGACGCTATAAGATTTAGAAGAGAATAAGCTTGTGGAGGGGAAACCTTTTACACGAACGTCACCAAAAACATAACATTTCTTGATAGATGCAATCATGCTAATCAGATCTACATCGTATAAAATCAAATTAGGTTATCATATTCACCCTCAAATGACAATCTTATCTTAACAAACACCAAACAACATTTCATCATACATAGTACAACTAGATTTTCAAGACCTCATACCTTTGGCAAATGATGTTAACTTTTATGGCTGATGATTCATAGATTATTCCCCCTGATTATGCAAATAGATCCTCATTTGCATGACATATCAGTTGATCATATTCCCCACCAAAAGACATCATTCAAACAAATTAAAAATTTTGTTTTTGCACTTGATCATGACCTTTAAAATTTTGATCGCTTTAAAGCATCGATTCATCTGAACACGAACCCTGGTACTGCTCTCAGAAATGATACAATACCAACTTGTCATGGTTCGTGTATATATATATAAAACTCTAACTGTAACCAACCACCCAAAACAATACTAGAATAGAGCGTTCCTTCCCAGATATAGATATTTGCGGTTCAATATGGCGCAGGTAGAAGGGTAACTAACTAGAACAACCGGTTCGCTGTGCATATTTGGCAGCCTAAGGACAACTGTCCTTATTTCAAGGGAACGTCATGTAGAATTCTAGAATGACATATGAATATGACAGTACTTCAACATCGGCCTTTCCTTCAGGTTATCCCAGTTAAAACAACTAAATACTACTTACCACAGATGTGCTATGCCGGAACTGGTTTTCAGTTATTTACCTTATTTGCCTCACCTAGCAAAACCCTGGGGGCTGGTCGTTTTCGTCGATGAGGAGGGTCTAGTATAGTAGGGAGAATGGATATGCTGATCTATGGACTGGCAACTTCTGCTAAACGCCATCCTGCAGTTTTCGACATACCTCTGGCTTCTCGTATCGTTGGACTATTAACTAAGGCAATGCTGCTCACTTGTAAATGAAAACGAGAAATCCCCAACCAAAAACTTTCTGCTTGAAAGGACTGCAATGTATTTTGTATGGCATTGCATAGCCGCGATCCGAGGTCTTGGTGTGTGCACTCAATCGAGACGCCTGGTGTTGACGTTATCTTTGTGTATGGAAGTGCAGACTGTAAGTAGCTCCCGACCTCCAAAGCCATTGAAAACTGAATCAGCTCTGTAAAACGTCTGCCAGTCTCATATTACACGCCTTTCTTCATCGTTTGCGCCCGTTGATATAACATTCCCACCAACTTATTCCACTGCACTTCGTGTGTGTTTCCGCAACTTTCTGCTCAGCATAACTTCATAACGCCTTTATAGATTGTGATTATATTTGGTGTGTTGGTAAGTCTTTGGACGTCAAGGGTCAAGTGGTGTGGGGTTGGTCCCCCTATCAGCTCGTTCTGGAACTGCAGGGGACTTTCTGGCAAAATCTTTGAAAGCCGATAAGTACAGGTAGGAACAACATATTTTCATCATTTTTGGTACGAAGATAGCTGAGAGAGATGTACATCATGAACGAAATGTAATGGGATAGAAGCATTTACAATCTTCGATGGGATTTCGAACGTCTAAATACATCATGAACATATTACCTGGATAGGCAAGGAACGTCTGTATGTGAAAAAACACCCTACCCATCGTTACTGCCTTGTTAACTTTCTTTCCTAATTTGTTACTAACTACAGTGCCAGTGATAACAATGCCCTGTATCTGACTATGTTTTAATTTGATCTTTGCACGAGGGGGCGTACACTGGGTCAACACCTATCAGGTATTTACGGAAGGCTACCACCTGACGCTGGTCACGTGTGCTGAACTAGCACAACTCAGCAACCGGACACCTTCTGAGAATACCCTGCACCGAAACCAACTTCTCAGAATCATAGTTTCATAGTCAATGTACCGAAACGTAGTTCTGGGAAGTGTTGGCAACCGACGTATCAGCCTTTTAACCATGAAATCTGTGCAAGATTTTCTTTAATTTCGTGAGTGCCATTTTGAAGTTTTCACGATATCGCACACAGAAAAACGATTTCTCCTAGCCTATAGAAACGAGGTAAGGTTACCACTTGTATATACTATGCTTTCTCCTCTATGTGTAATGTTTTTTTTCTTCTTTTGAGCTTTCTACAACAATCCTGTAATCGACCAGCCATGTCGACCTAATAATATTCCTGTAAAGGACCGGTGACATACATCAAACGTGCAGAACTGAGGGCATTGTTGGGACAATCTGCTCGTGTAACGTTACGTGCAATACAAAGTACAGCACAGTCATTGTCTTGCTACGGACAATCCTGTATAAGATCCGTGTCGGTGGTGCTTCCTACAGCCTGTTTGACAGTAGAGCGACTGCCTACGACAAATAAGACAACACCAATATCTAGTTTTCAACGCCTATCTTACATTACCATGCATCCGCCATGTTGCATCTATATAGGCGACTACGGAAATCAGATGTTTAATGTTACATTCCCTGCATGACCCCTCACCTTTGACCGTACACATGACTTGCCTGGGTTGTGCCGTAGCCATGTAAATCTACTTCCTTGATGTGATACTGGTTTCATTTTCCAGAACATGACAGAAAAGGCGACGTTTGTGCACACTGGCAGCGGAACGCGGAGGGTTCTGCAGCTGAAACATGCCACACCGGCCCGACTTGTGCTGGTGTTCGGGCTGAGGGAGCCTCCGCAGCTGCTGACGAGAGCGGACACGCAGGACGTCGTGTTCGCCGAGGGGAGCCCCGAGGAACCGTACTCTGACCTGGAGCCGGGGGCCGAGTACGAGTTCTCAGCTGCCCAGTCAGGTAAATGCGTCACAAATTGCTGCATGTAGTCATTTGATTAAAGCTAGTAGTGACAGTCTTACAATTCATGCTATCGTTGGCCATCGATATTTCGTGTACAAAAGGCCATATTTGACGAAAGTACGTTGCGTTGCAGGGGACTATAGAATGCTTAAAAACTTACTATCGTTGCTCGTTGTGGATATAACTCAGCTGCAAGGCTGCATAAGCCTGTCTTGTCCCTCGATCTGGCTATCAGTTAGGCCAAACAGCCTCATCCTTGGTGCTGACTGGCCATTCATAATCATGATCATAATTCACAATCACTGATTGAAGAACACGGATCATGAAATAAAATAGACGCCTTCTCATTTTCAGTGGCTTTTATACGTCCTTCATGTCAAAGATTTAGTTATCAAAAACGGAATGATTTTTTTTTTTGGTTTTCATCCGTTTTGTTTTCTTTATATGCTTGGTATAAATCGAAGTTCACAGTTTCACTTCCGTCTTTTAAGCTAATGGCCACGTTAATATCCTGTATTGTGAATTATGATTGTGACATCTCATAGTGTAGATCCTCGGACCTATGGTGTGATAATCTTACCTGTTACACAGTGGCAGCCAATGTGACAATTCCCACCTCTAAACCAAAGAACCTGCGGCTAGCGGACATCCAGCGAGCATTGGTGTGCTGTCAGGCCGTGTATGAGAAGACACCAGACGCCGTACAAGAGTTCCTGACAAAAGAACTGGAGAGCCATGACTTCTGCAGTACTTCTGTATCCTGCTATGGGCGTGTGTCGTATATGGTAGCTGAGACTGAGGCCAAGGATGAAGTCTTCATTGCATTTAGGGGTACGTTACCATCATATAATGTCAAGTCAAATTCACTCAGTATTGTCATATGATATGGTATAAACAGGATAGTTAATATATTATTTTCAGAGCAAAGAAAGCAAGAAAATACTGTCCACTAATGATATATCAATTGAATTTTATATATCATTTCAGGGACGAGCAGCTTCGAGGATGTGATGGCCGACTGTTCCATCTGGCAGCAGCTGGCAGCAGCCGGGCCTGAGGGACGCCAGACTGCAATGGGTGGGCGGTGTCATGCCGGATTCCGTGAGCTGGCCTCCTCTATCCCGGTCGACCCCTTCCTGAAGAAGTACCAGCACCACCGCATAGTTCTGTGTGGACACAGCCTTGGCGGCGCCGTGTCACATATCGTCGCGCTCAACATGCTGGTGGAGCTGAAGAGAAGGGGACTCCGCACTGACAACATCAAGACCATCGCTTTTGGAGCACCGTACTTCGGGGACGAGGGTCTCCGTTCCTACGTGGAGAAGGAGAATCTGTCCGACTGCCTACTAACCGTGGTGAACCAGAAGGACCCGATACCACGCATTCTCCGACTGGCAGAAGCCGTTCAAACCGCTGTGACAACAACATCTGATAAGGTAACTACTAATCTCCAGGCAGGTCATACGGTGGCAAGGCAGTATCCATTGGCCACCTAGGCTAATGGACACTCATCTGGTCAATGTCTACTGCCTTTCCATCGCATGATCGTCTTGGAGATTAGTAACTACAGAAAGTGTACATTTGCTGCATGGAAAGCTGTAGCTACCACTACCAGCATATACACTACCAAAAATGCTTTTTCTTGTTTTTCTTATTTTCTCATGGGAAGAAAATTTTTCTTTGGGGGAGAATAATAAGAAAAAAATAAGAAAAAAATAAATTTTCTGTATACCTACATTCTTGCACCAAGAACAATTTTCTCATTTTTCTTGAGTGGAGATAATTTTTCTAAAATAGGCTTCTTTAAATCTTGATTTTTCTTCGGTGAAGAAATATTTCTAGAGGAGATTCTAACTTACAAGATTAGAATTCTTGTAATCTTGAAATTTCTTTAGTAAAGACAATATTTCTAGGGAAGGTTCTAAGTTACAAGATTAAAATTCTTTTAATCTTAAAATTCCCTCAGAATTAGTTAAATTTTCTTATTTAATCTCCATGGAAGATTTCTTTCTTACCTGATATCAAAGTGGTCAGATTTAAGATTTTTTTCTTGTGTTTGTCAAAAAAATTTCTAGTTCATGTTACCGAGAATGATTGAAAAGGGCCATTCTTGTTTTTCTTAGCAATGTTTAAGAAAATACAAGAATGGTTCTTGTCTTTCTTGGGAAACACTGATTGAAAAAGCAAGAAATTTGATTATCGAAATCTATTATTAGAATAAAGCTCTGCTTAGTGTTTCTTTCTTAAGGTTTCTTGTTTTTCTTGACTAGAAAGCTTAAGAAAGATCATTCTTGTTTTTCTTGGCAACATTTAAGAAAATACAAGTCTTAGAATTAAGTTCTTATCTTTCTTGACAAATACTGATAGGAAAAAAAAAAACAAGAAAGTCTAATATAAAATTGATCTTTGATTAGGCTGAAGATATGGCTAGTATTATATTCTTAAACATTCTTGATTTTCTTCCCTAGAAAGTTTAAGAAAGACCATTCTTGTTTTTCTTAGCGACATTTAAGAAAATACCAGAAAGTTTAAGAAAGATGATTCTTATTTTGCCTGGTAATGTTCAAGATGATGTAAGAACTTTTTTCTAGTTTTTTCTTGTCATGTGACCTTTTCTAAACCCCTGATTGGTTGATTCAAATCCCAGAATGCAGTTAGGGGGTTTTGAACATAAGTCAGATGTGGGAGCCGCGCTGGTTACTTATTTTTGTCAGTTACTGACTCATGTCAGATTTAAAGTCAAAATGAAATCAAAAAGGACCTTGTGTACATGTGAAGCAATGGTGATCGTGGTCAGCTTGCTGAAGAAACCAACTTTGCAACAGAAAAAGCATGAAACCAAACAGATTGAAGGTAAGTGCGCCCCCCTCCCCACCTATAAGATCTGTTGACATTGTTTTTAGACTTCATAGCCCAAATATTGTTACAACGCCATTGGGGTTGATTTCAAAGTCAAATCATATATCTCTGGTGTATTGTATAGTAAAGTTTATTACAGTGCTTTATGATATAATTCTAAATTGTTTACTCCAAGTAATAAAAATAGTATTTTAGCATCCTCTTTTGACTTGTTGCCTTCAGTGCTCGCATGCAAACTAACACAGGTCTTTCTTGTTGTTTTTCAGGTTTCCAAAGGGTGTGACTTTGCCAATTCTATAATGCGAAAACTGCAGTTTTTGCTGAATATGCTTCTGATCAGAATGTAATACGATCTGTATTCTGAAATCATAATGGCTTGTTAGTTACATCGTATAATATTTTGAAAGTTACTGTTAAACTGTTTCCATTCCAAGAATGTTGATGGACTGATTTTATATTTTTAATTAGATACATTGTACAAAAATCAATGTGATAATAAACATCTCTATACTGTCCAAATGCTTTTCAAAATAACATTTTGTTGCTATACATTATTGTCTGTTTTATATTTAGGTAGCACTATATACATTGTATTTCTTTTCTTGTGGGCAGAATGGTTTTCTTGCTACAAGAACAGAGTCAGCTCTTATTTCAAGTAAATCTTTCCTTGTGTACAGAATGGTTTTCTTGCCACAAGAACAGTTAGATGTTAGTTCAAGAAGTCTTTTCTTGTGGGGAGAATGGTTTTCTTCCTACAAGAACAGTTAGATCTTAGTTCAAGAAATATTTCTTTGCGTGGAGAATGGTTTTCTTGCCACAAGAAGAGTTAGATAATAGTTCAAGAAACCTTTTCTTGTGGGGAGAATGGTTTTCTTGCTACAAGAACAGTTAGCTCTTAGTTCAAGAAATCTTTTCTTGTGTACAGAATGGTTTTCTTGCCATAAGAAGAGTTAGATCTTAGTTCAAGAAATCTCTTCTTGTGGGCAGAATGGTTTTCTTGCTACAAGAACAGTTAGCTCTTAGTTCAAGAAATCTTTTCTTGTGGGGAGAATATTTTTCTTGCTACAAGAAGAGTTAGATCTTAGTTCAAGAAATCTTTTCTTGTGTACAGAATGGTTTTCTTGCCATAAGAAGAGTTAGCTCTTAGTTCAAGAAATCTCTTCTTGTGGGCAGAATGGTTTTCTTGCTACAAGCACAGTTAGCTCATAGTTCAAGAAATCTTTTCTTGTGTACAGAATGGTTTTCTTGCCACAAGAACAGTTAGATGTTAGTTCAAGAAGTCTTTTCTTGTGGGGAGAATGGTTTTCTTACTACAAGAACAGTTAGATCTTAGTTCAAGAAATATTTCCTTGCGTGGAGAATGGTTTTCTTGCCACAAGAAGAGTTAGATAATAGTTCAAGAAACCTTTTCTTGTGGGGAGAATGGTTTTCTTGCTACAAGAAGAGTTAGATCATAGTTCAAGAAATCTTTTCTTGTGTACAGAATGGTTTTCTTGCCATAAGAAGAGTTAGATCTTAGTTCAAGAAATCTTTTCTTGTGGGCAGAATGGTTTTCTTGCTACAAGAACAGAGTCAGCTCTTATTTCAAGAAATCTTTTCTTGTGTACAGAATGGTTTTCTTGCTACAAGAACAGTTAGCTCTTAGTTCAAGAAATCTCTTCTTGAATGGTACTGGTTTTCTTGCTACAAGCACAGTTAGCTCATAGTTCAAGAAATCTTTCCTTGTGTACAGAATGGTTTTCTTGCCACAAGAACAGTTAGATGTTAGTTCAAGAAGTCTTTTCTTGTGGGGAGAATGGTTTTCTTCCTACAAGAACAGTTAGATCTTAGTTCAAGAAATATTTCTTTGCGTGGAGAATGGTTTTCTTGCCACAAGAAGAGTTAGATAATAGTTCAAGAAACCTTTTCTTGTGGGGAGAATGGTTTTCTTGCTACAAGAACAGTTAGCTCATAGTTCAAGAAATCTTTTCTTGTGTACAGAATGGTTTTCTTGCCATAAGAAGAGTTAGATCTTAGTTCAAGAAATCTCTTCTTGTGGGCAGAATGGTTTTCTTGCTACAAGAACAGTTAGCTCTTAGTTCAAGAAATCTTTTCTTGTGGGGAGAATATTTTTCTTGCTACAAGAAGAGTTAGATCTTAGTTCAAGAAATCTTTTCTTGTGTACAGAATTGTTTTCTAGAAAACTTAGAAATTCTTACTGCAAGAATAATATTCTAAGGATATTTAGTTCAAGATACATAAGAAAAGAAATCTTACCACAAGAAAAATATGCTAAAATGCAGTTTCTTGAAATTCTTGTCTCATGGACAAGATTTTTTTCTTGGGTGAAGAATAATTTTCTCAGTGGAAGAAAAGTTTTCTTCTCTGAAGAAAAACAAGATTGGCATTTTTGGTAGTGTAGTACTTGTATATGACTCAGCTAGTGCTTCTGATAACCAAATCATAGTAATAAGTTTAACTTAATAATTGTTCAACCTGTATTCTCGTGTCATTGCCATGTCTGTACAGGTGAGGAAGTTCGTCAAAGACGTAAGGCCATTGCTCACCCCAGTACTGAAGATAGCGTCCTCGGGAGTTGGCGGCCCTGTCGTTGCGGGTGTCGCTGCTGCAGCTGGCACCGTTTTGGATCAGCTTCCCCGTGCCATGGATGAACTGGACGGGCTGATACGGGAACAGAACGTTACGTTACAGGAGTTGAACTCCATCTACCGACCTGTAGGGTGGTACATGTTCATCACGTGCCATGAGGCTCCCGGCAGTTTCCGCACAACATGGAAGGAAGGCTATACACGAGAGGAACGTCAGATCAACAGGTTCATAACAGACAGTGGACGCCTCACTCGTGAGTACTTTGGAAATACACAAAGCATTTGCATGTCGTGTTCGGTAATTACATGTAGGCATGGTTATGCATCATGTTCCTGGATGGTTTCTACTCATCTTAAAAGCCCTGTCTACTGGTCAAGGTACTAAACATTGGCATATAGATGTAGAAAGAACTTAATATATAGAAAATTTACTTTGCATATAACATGCAACACTATGCACATAGCACAATTTGACGTTATACATTTTGCTTCTCTTTTTCCTTCAGCGGAGATGATACACGAACACAAGGCTGTGTGCTATGCAACTGCCTTTTACAATGTCTCAACCAGAAAGGAGTACGACACAGTCCTCACACAAGCTCCAGTCTGCGATGTAGTTGACAGCTTTGCCCCCGAGGTATGGATTCAACGGAACATCTCCATGGAAACAGCCTTTCCACCACACGTCAACAAAGTTTCCCTTGTCAGTATTGGTACGTGAGTCTTAATATACTTTTGGATACAATGAATTGGGGTGGCTGCACTACTGGTAGAATTGAACACTGAATATTGTGACAAACCTTTCTGATCAATTTACTATTTACTTTCCCGGTGTCAAGTGTGAAAAATAGTTGAAGCAATTCATGAGAATACTTTGACTGAAGTAAACCCATTTCTTTGGTTCTCTTAGCAAGCCTGGAAGGTGATAAGGATAATGGGAAGTTGTTGGTGACTATTGATGGTGAAAACCTAGACTTCTTCATCCTCCCATCGGAAGATCCTTTCACAGGTAAATATCACTTGCGTATAATGTATTGTTGACTCTATTATAATGTGTGGCATAAATGATGCTGTCACAAATAAATGGACAATAAAACATGAAGCAGAGATACGTGATACATGTTTGACCTGACGAGCCTTTTTAATCAATACAACACTTAATACAATACCACAATCAAAAGGAGCAGACTATTTTGCCTGAAGAAAATAAAAGGATAGATGATGATGATGACAACATAATCATCTCACTCGTTTATTGTTCAGGTATTCCGTATGACAAGACAAGAAGGGAACCGGTCACTGTGAACTTCAAAAGCTCCCGGCAAGTTCTCTTGGAGTGTTACCTTACTGATGGGGCATTCGACCCTTTTCCCACCATCACGGTTAGAACTCACTTTGAGGAAATCCAGCATCATACCACGAAAGAAGAAGTCAAGGTAATGTTTATTGTATAAGTGTCAACCTACATTATATGATCTGTTGGATTCCATTCAAGTTGACAAAGTATATTAAGCACTTTACATTGTGTACGTTACAGGAACTGAAGGGCTGTACACTGGGTCAGCTAGCCGTTGGGCAGTTGAGGCCAGAACTCCTCATCAAGGCAACACAGCGTTGCTTGGCAACAGTGATGATGATGCCGGAATCCCGCCGACAAAAGGAACTTAGGAGTAACGCCATGATGTCGTACCTGGACAAGCTTGATAAGGGTAGACATGCCGTCAGAAATGGTTAGTTATTGGACAAGCCAAGTTATTCATTAAGGTGGACGTTAAAATTAGCCACATTCCTTCAGTCTCTTTCTAATCGTCTTGTTTCTATTTTCTTACCTTTGTTAGTGTTCAAAGAAAGATTTTCTTGCCCTGTACATGTTTAGGTAAAAACCCAGAACTATTCGACATGGTGGCAGCTGCTTTATCTGGTGGCCTAGCGGACCTTCAGGATGAGAAGCTGGGACCGGTGGTGGGTGAAATTGTGGCCGAAGTCGGGAACCATCTAAAGGTGACGTACCCTATGGGTCTTAAGGATTGGGTGCTGGGAACGCTGCTCGGGCTTACAGCGGTGGCTGGTGTGGTAGTCACAGGTAAGACTTGTCTTCAAGTTGAAAGAAATCCTTCCCACTTCAATTTCTATAGCCCGTTCGCAACACAGGCAAATACAGTAGTAAATAGCATGTGTACATGCTCGTGTGAAAACCTTTTTCAGTCGCTGACTATAGACTCTTTTCTTTTCTCAACCAAGGTGGAGCTGGTGCTGCTTACATTGGTGCCTTGGCGATCAGTATGACGGGAGGGGAGGCTATAGCTGCGGCCGTCGCTGGTCTCCTAGCGTCCGGAGCCAGCATTTTCAGCAACATGAAGTATCAGGAATTTTTCACCAATGTGGAAAGGAATTACAAGGGTGTTCTCAAGTAAGAGCAGGTTGAGAATCAAATGAACTAATTCCACAACTTAGTTTGACTTTCCTTTTCTGAATTTCTGTAAATATAAATCATCCACTGCCCAGTAAATATAATCTGGACATAAGTATGAACATCACTATACCTATACCTTATTGCAGGACTCTGATTGAGGAGCTACCATCTGTGCAGGATGTCAACGAGGAGAACTCAATCCGTGACAGGGCACTGGATGACGATGTGTACAGTCTGGAATCAGCTCTCATGACCAAGTATGAGGTGGGTTACAAATGAAAGTGTTTAGCTTTGTACCAGAGCTTTACACCGGGCCTAGTATGGTTACAACATTGCCTCTATATGCTAATAGGTGTGGTTTCTGCTGATACACGTAGTATTTACATTGTCATTGAGTACAATGATTAATACCTTAAAGAGCATGCTGTTGATGATAATAATGGCAATTATCTATCTCAAACACAGCATTTCATGTGTCTAGAAGGTACTTGACAGTAATGTTTCCTTCTTTCAGATGCTTGGATGTCTTGATAAAGATTTTGACTACATTGCAAAACTTCATCCATTCAAGACTACTTGGGGCAAGAAGCTAGGCACAGCAACTAAGGGGTCCCAACAGGAGGCGGTGAGACGCTGCCAGATGACCTGTGACCTGTTCCGGCTCCGTCAGCTGCTCATGAAGACTTGCTTCGTGGGTCTGATCGGGCCGCAAGATGCAGGCAAGACGACACTCATCAAGACGCTTTGGGGACTGGAGGAGGTGAAAGACATCGGCTTCCAGAAGCACACCAAAACAGCCGTGCTTTACAAGGCGAGGGGCACAGAGAGGATGGTGGTAAGAACTTCAAATCATACATGACTAATACACGTTTAATTTGTACTTTGTAGTCACTTGGAAAGTCCTGACAGGGTATCCAATAGCCATTACAAACGACCCATGCAATTCTATCAACAACGTGTCTATGCTCTTGCAGCAAGGAGATGCATGTGTATGTGTGTATCTACATTTTTGCAGAAATGTATCATCTAAATACTTTCCCATCATCTTGATTTGCAGATTGTAGACTTTCCTGGCACAACCACAGTTGATACTCAGGTAGCCACGCTGGTGAACCACTGTGGGGGACTGGCCAGTTTCTTCATCCTCGTCATGCCGTTCACCGGTGATCCCAGTAAGATAAACATTGACCAACTCAACAAGGTCAAGGCCTTTGGCTGCACCTTCGTGATCTGCATCAACCAATGTGGACGATTTCCTGATGCGTTTAAGGTATGCCGTTATGGTGAAATATTTTATATGGCAGGCATCAAAGGAACTTCACTTTCGAATTCTAATTTGCATGGTTAATGTTTATTAGTTTATTTGTATCAACAACAGTATGACTGGCAGCCGTGACGTACAAGGCTGAATTTCAATGCTTGTTTACAATAACATAAATCATTTAGTAGGGTCATTAATAAGTTAGCATCTACAACGTCATTTCAAACAATTTGGCTCGATCTTTACAATAATACATTGTATAACTCATAATTATCAACACTGAAGTACAATAATGTTGAATCAGTTGGATCACAGAACGCATCCTTACATGTATCGTTTTCTCTTTTCCATCTCAGACCCAGGAAAACACAGACAAGTTCCGTGCCGACTTCTCCGAGGTGCTGGACGTGAAACCTTCGGACATCTTCTTCACCGACTTCGTGTCGTGCAGCACGGAGATGCGCGCCGTGGGGCTGATGGGAGTTGATGACGTCAGGCGGTGGATCAGGGACTGGCTGGTGACGTATGACGTGTTCGAGAAGGACGAGCCTGAGCTGAGCAGGGCTGTCAACGAACAGGCAGCTGGGAAGGGGCTTACATGTAGATTTTCAGATTTAAAGATCTAAAGATTTTCAGATCTAAAGATCAGATTTAAAGATCTAAAGATCAGATTTAAAGATCTAAAGATTTTCAGATCTAAAGTCTTAGATTTTCAGAACTGAGACCTTTCTCGGCTTTCCTGCATATGGAACAGAACAGGCTACAGAAGCTACTTTTGCGAGTAAATGCAGCATATTTACTCCTTTCACAGTTCTATCTCTTCTGTATCATTAGCTTTTGCATAATTGGCCCAAAATGGAACAAATGGTACAAAATAGAATATTACAGAAAATGCTGAGAAGAAGACAATCACGTGTCTTATATCTGGCATGATAATAATTTGAGATTGAATAGACCTAGTAAAGTTATATTTTTGTGAACATTTACTAAATGGAATAAAGGCTATATTGAAAAATTGATATATCACAGAGCAATGTTGATTGCTTTGTATGGTAATGATCGATGAGGAGAAGACAATCACTGTCTGACATTAATGTATTTGGAATGGCATTATTTTGATGTTTAATAAACCATGTTAAGTATTGTGAACATGTACTAAAATGTGAAGCTTTTCATAATGTGATAAATTGACATCAATGATTGATATCATTCTATTTACCAACTGTTAGCTTAAAGAAGAGAGCTATATCACACTCAAAGCAAAAACAGTGTTTTCCTTCTGCGAAGATAATTAAACTTTATTCTGACTATTACACGTGGAATATAACAATGCTGTACATCAAATTATTGGTTACAGTCTGTACTTTGCTTGGAAGTCTATGGTTAACTGTCTAAAGTTATAATATCAGTTTAACTGAAGTTTGCAAGCTTCGTCTGCAACCGGATTTTACGCCGTTCTGGCGTCTTGACTTGCGTTGCGGTCTTTAGACTGGAAGAGGTACTCATGCTCGCAGATTATGAAGTTTTGTGTAGTTTTTGGCAAGCTTTGTTTAGGGGAGTCATTGTGTGTTGTAATTATTATGCCGTTGTATCTTTTGATCAAATGTTGTTGCCATAATGTTATTATGTTTAATTTCTTATCACTTTAAGACTTATACCTTGTAACATAATCCAGCTTGCGAGACATGGCCATTAGATAAGCAGAGGAAATCATTTAAGCAGAGAAAGTCATTTAAGCAGACATTTTGCTAATTCTCTTTGAGTTTGAACTGACTTCTGTTATGGTGTGTATAATGGCGTTTATTTTACACAGTATTTCATTGATGACAGCTTATGAGGTTTTGTGTAGCTTTTGGCAAGCTTTGTTTAGAGGAGGCGTTGTTTGTTGTAATTCTTCTGCCGTTGCAATTGTATCTTTTGATCAAATGCACTCGTTGTCCTCTAGGCCATGATGTTATATTATAATATTCAACAGTTAGACTTACACTTTCGTAATGGCTAATGTAACAGACTATAAAAATAGCAAATGACAGAAATGATGACTATCACAGAACGGTTAAATTTCATCTGTGCCTGTCTTGATGTGCCTTAATTGTTAGGAATATCAAGTAGAAATGACATGTACTAATGTTTACGTATCATACTCAAGCAAGAGTTTGACTTGCACTTGCATCTTGCACTTGCGTAATGAATAAAACACTCGTATAAATCACTACGTGTCTTCTTTTTTACCCTTCCTACAGTATTTATACATGTCATATTGTCAATGTCTAGTCATATAGAGAGGCCTGAGATATATTTGGACAGGATACTGTAATTGGGAATGGTACAACAGAAAGTGTGCATATGGCCTTCTTTAGATATAATTGATGTATTAACTAGTCTCCCTTGTACTCGGGATGTACTTAGACAAATCAGTACAGCAATGCTATTTCACATAAATTCGCATGGTAAGATAAATCCGGGATTTTTAAAAACATGATATTTAGGGATATATATTACTAGATATGAAGCAGTAATACTAGTACTGAAATGCAAACTTATATGTGTAGGAGAACATTGTTTAAAAACGTCGACAACCACGCTTTCGAAGACAGCGAAGTCCTAAATTTTCCGACGCTTTTAGTAGGTGGGAGCGACTGTGGGAGTGGACGTAAACTAACCAGGATGGTACCCAGGCTAGAACAGTCCAATGATTGCGTCATTTCTTACTATACTTACCCCTTATTTCACACCCTCCAAGACTTATGACGTAGGCCCAGGATGACGTTGACAAGAATGACCCTATCGTTCTATTTTAAGCGTTTGTCACCGTAAACTAGTTGTTTTGTGTAACCGGCCATGGATCGTGTATGCCCGAAGGGCTCCATTTCCCTGCAGTGTTTGTACAAGGCTTGTCATGAGGGGTCCTGAATAGTTCACCCATAGAAAGGCGCTGCTCCAGTGCACAGCATATTGGGTTACATACCTGGGCAAACATGTTCATAGTGCGTAAGTGCGAGCTGGTCGGAGTGGAGGACTGAAAATCGTCCTTGTCCACTGCTCAAGTAGTGTCAACAGACGAGGAAGAAGAATTCTCCCAGATTTCAGCTGTCCGTACTAGTAATTAAAGGTAAGTTGGGGACTTGTAAGGATTTTCGATCCGATCTATTGTCACTGTGGGCGTCGTAGATGTCACACACTGCGGCACTGCAGACAAAATATTTGTGCACTCCTTAAGCTTAGGACTGGGTCACTACAAAGTCTACACTTCGGGGAATGATATAGTATAGAGGCTATAAGACATACATACATAAGGGAATAAGGGTGTTTGACAGCCGATGGAGATGAATGAATCATATACGAGGCATTTCATCGGCACACACACACATATATATAATAGTAAATACAGAAGGAATTTATGATCCAAAATATTGACATATTTCCATAAAAGGCACAAAACAAATCTTTCCAATCCATAAACATTCGTCCATCATTAACTGAAGGTTTGACGTGAAAGATAGCTGTTTAGATTATACTGGTGGTAATATACTGAAGAATTGACGGATTAGGTCAGAATTTACGTTACTCGTGATTTCCTCACGACAAAAGATAAGAGGCTAGTCCTGCATGGTTGGTGGTTCTCTATGCAGAAACATAGCTTAAAGTGAACCACGTCGTGGCGAGTAATGCTGGTTTCTCATTGGCACCTGGTAACGGTGTATACAAAGTGTTGTTTGTCCCTCACGACAGCACGGTCTGGTTTTAAACTAAAGACGACGCCGGCAAATCTGTCGACAGGACGTGTCTCTGGGACTCATCCAAGATGGCGTATGTGACGTTGTACGGTAAAATCGACATGCTGTCCGTTCTGTTCCTGGTGTGGACGTCGTCATTGGTACGGTAAACTTCCTTTCTTATGATATTTCTTTGCTTAGTGCCAGTGCGATTGAGCTGGTAGAATATGTGGATTAGAGTGTAGAAACATAGGGTGTGTAAATTTACAGACGATAGTTTTACATCAACTTACTAAGACAATGTAGTCAAAGACTAAACGAACAGGTATGAAATGTCATATGTTACAAATGAAAGACGCAGAATAAAAGTGACCCGCTGTAGTGTTGTCTTTGCGGTGATTTACATGTATTAGTTTTGGGTATATGCCAAACGTTTTTGTCAGAGGTCAGTGGGTTGGGAGGGGTGTGTTGAATGAGGCAGTCATTTACAAATACAAGATACAGGAGCATACATGTAGTCTAACACTCTAAAACAGTGTCGTCATAATAAGGTTGTACATGTAATGTTAGTCATTTCTGGTGTTATGTAGCATTGAAACACGTTAATATGAAAGAGTAAAACAGTTTATGTCTCTTTTTCTCCAGTCGGTTGTTGAAGCATGTCCGAGTCAGTGTGCGTGTGCCGACACCACTGTCAACTGCACCAACCTGCAGCTCCTCACCCTCCCCGCAAACATCCCCACAGACACCGCCGTACTGGACCTGAGCTACAATAACATCTCCGCCCTCCCCCCTGACGCCTTCGCCACTCTTCTCAGTCTCACTGTTCTCGACCTTCAACATAACAACGTCAGGTGTGTATTTGTATGTTAACATGTCTTACTCTTTTTAGATGTATATTTATGTCACTACATCATGGGTACAATATTTTAGGGATGACTGATCACATTTTATTGTTTATCTGTTGATGCTGAAGTAATCAAATTGTATGTACATGTAAACTGCAACACAATTCAGGAATCACTCTATTCAATAAAGTTCTAAGGTCCTAAAGGTGGGATAATGCATGCAGGGCCTACTTGCCAGATGTCACGGCAGGCATGTCTGTACCCAGCGGACCCTGTAATCCGTGTCTCCGGACATGTTGGATGAACAATGGCGTGTGTGTACTTTTGTCCAAAACATAGACTAAGAAGGGTCTGTGGATGTTCTGGGGCATGTAAAGTCATGTCTTTTACTACCGTGCGTACCTACAATGATTGGAAAAATATAGAAAAGATCAATGGATGAAAGGTTGTGAATGTGGGTTGTGCATGGTTGAGCGCCTGCCCGACGTACATGTTAAACCTAACAGTACTAATCACAACATTATAGCATAGCCATTTGTACAGTAGACCCTAAAATACATGCTGGAATTCCATAGAGTTTCATTTAGAATTTTTAATGTTGAATAAGTCAATTTTACCGTTCTTTGTTAACTGATGACAACAGTTAATGTATAATTATTTTATTGACTGACACTTCTGTAAATAGCCTCGAAATTCAGCCCCCCAATAAAGCTACCAGGAGGCATGTAACGTTATATATCTTGTTGAGAAATATTAAACCAGTCTACTACTGCTAGTTTACTACATAGATAATGATTGAAACTCTTAAACTCGAGCAGAGCGCCCTGCACTAGAGAGCCACAGAAAAGGTGTAAAAGGAGGAGCGGTCCGATCTCTGTCAATCTTGAGAAAGGCGAATAAAGTAATCGAAACCGGTCGTATTCTGTCTCATCCCTGTCATTCTCCCAACGCTACAAATGATAGATAATGATTGAAAGTTAGAATACTTAATGCCAGGTTGATGCTGAATTCCTAGAATTCTTTTCCCACCTGTAGTACCGTGAACGAGACGGCGTTTTACCGCGCGAACGTCTTCACCCTGTCGGGTCTCCACACCGTGGACCTGTCCTATAACGTGTTAACCTCCGTCCCCGCCGTGCTGCAGGACGGGAGCCTACCGGGGCTGCTCAACATCAACCTACAGCACAACAAGATCACCAACATACTAGCAAGTAAGGACCTGGTGGTGTCAATTCGTCGCACGATCGTTGTACAAACTAAGGGGATTTTTAGGATAGTCCTGCATGTGTTGTACAGATGTTTTGTTGATAAAAAGTTTCTTCGACCCTTTTTTAATAGCAGTTTGGTCGTTCACAGCCTGCTTGAAAATTATACGACATCAAAATCGAGTATGGCGCAAGGATACTCAAGCCATCATAGGCGTTGTAACGAGCTGTAAGATATGCCACACTCGCCGCCTGTTTGTAGCTACTGCCCCTCTAGGCTAATATTTCGGCACAACAACGTTCGTTATCATCCTACCGGGATGTTACCAATTTTGGTCGGTAGATATATCAATTGGTCTAGAACTTCAATCCTATGCAAACAGTCTCTTTATCATAGCTCTTGACTATTCAACATTTGTAGTGGATTTATGGAACACAGCGTCCGGTGTACGACATTACAAATTACATTTGTAGGTAGTCGCCTTGAGAGTCTCTTTGTACCGTCTTTGTGAGCATAACTCATCAAGTAAGTTCTTCAAGCGTAGCACACATGCGTCGTGCCATGACTAAACTTGAACAGCCGTAATCATGCACAACCAGAGCGCTGACCTGAACGGTCCTCTACACAAGTATTCTCCCTGCCAGTGTTTTGAGATGCGTTCCTATATGAGGGCATGCATGCTCCAGTTCTCTCTACCAATATAGAGCTATACGGGTTCATATATGAAATTCTATCAACACCCCACCCCAATTCATTCATATCGCAAAATGTCGGCCATTTGATACTCCACTGTACACAGAAAAGAAATCAAACTCAACAATAACTAAATCCAAAGTAGCATTAGCATTACCTATTATCATTTTTACTGTTATCTTGCACTTAGCCCTCGGCCCTCTGATAATTGAAAGAACATGCTAACAAATAAACAGTTATCATGTTTATAAACTATCATTATAAAATGGATTCACAGAACATAATTTCTGTCTACCATCATAGATGCATTCTTCGGAGTAATCAACAACGGTCTCCTCTCACTGGACCTGTCCAACAACCTCATCGAAGAGGTCCACCTAGAGGCCTTCCGAGGAACTGCACCCGTGATCAACGGAACCTTGGATATGAGCTTCAACAGGATTAGAACATTTCCTGTTTTGTCGACACTGAACAGCGTTATTACTGTGAACTTGGAAGGTACGAAAAGCCAGAAATATTCCAAATGTTTGTAACTCTACAGTAACTGTTTTAGACCGCATTGCTTCAATGATCCTACGAGGTATGCGTTAAAAAAGACAGAAAGGTATCATATGCAAAGCAAATGTCTGATATTTTCCTTCACATGGGGAAGGTCTAGCTACTGATCTGTTCTTACTCAAGCACATTCGTATATACTAGTGTATGGTGTCCAGCCAGTCAAACTCTGTCCTGCAACTTGCTACATGATGTAATCCAACACCATGAGGTGTCTGCTAAAGCACCGGTTACCATGGTGACAGTCGTCTATGGAGTCCAGGTCATTTACCTTTCTGCTTAGAAAAGAAGAAGCAAAACAGAGCAAAAGTTTTATATTTCACTTCGTAATTTAAACGTAGTTACTTCATATATTTCATCTTGTCGTAGGTAACCAGATCACCGAAGTTCCCGAGCACGCGTTACCCAACTACGAGGCCTTCCCCTTCTCCGTGTCGTATGTTTACCTGCAGAACAACTCCATCCGACTGGTACACAACAACTCCTTCCACCCCGACATGAAAGTGCTCTACCTGCACAACAATGAGGTAATGGACGATCAACACTGTTGAATAATTGAATAAAATTTCATTGACCAATTATAACATAAAAACAGTTGACGCAGTCAAGAACAAGAGTGATTTATGTCAACAAAATAAATCTAGTGGTCACAGTATGTAATGTGGCAATGAGCTACACCTAGCTACTACGCTATCTATAGCAAATTGTCTTAGTTCTTTTGCAAGGGACTCTTGCGGTGAATCGGAGAAAAAGTGTTCCAAGTAGGTCCTCAAGCACATTGAATGGCATTCTGTAGCTTTACCGGATAACTTTTTTTATGTAGTTGAGAGACTTCCCTGGTTTCGAACTGTGGAGGTTAACCGAACTTGAAAACCTGACCTTGAACGACAACCCGTGGGGCTGCTGTGACGACCTTCTCGAGTTTGTGCTGTATCTACAGAACAACACACATAGGTCAGACATTCAGTTTTACTCATCAAAAACAAGTAACTTGCGTTCATTTACAGTCACTATTTATATCACAAATTGTGTATGTAAGTACAGCTTTTGATATAAAGGTTTAACACTGTCAGAAGCAACTCGTTTTGGTAGCTACTGATTAAAATAGAAGACCTAGATAAAAATTAAAAGCTTAAAGAATAAGATTTACAATAGACTAATCTCACTGTCTTAAGAAATTTTCATACCTCTGTAATAACGTTATAATTGTGATAATTATGGTATATATACCTTTATATATCTATGTAGGAGGAGTAAGTCTTTTTTTCAAGTCTGTAAGGTTTTCGAGTGGGAACAATTTCAGCTTTACGCCCTATTGGTTAAGTAAGAACATAATTTTTTATTCCTTTTTACCCAGATTGGCATTTGTGAACGACACGGGGTTCCCCGGTGTGGAGTGTATGGACCCGCTGGACCTGAGAGGGACAGACATCCTCTCCATGAACATCAGCCATCTGGCCGAGGACGCCTTATGTCCCATCAGCACGGCAGTTACGTTTGGATGCGATCCTGTCATGGCGGTCGTCTGCATCATTCTTGCAATCCTGAAGGTTACAGAGAAATGATTCCCGTCAATGTACATAGATAGAATAGCTGTCTTTACCTCAGTGTTAACTGCCTCTTGCTGTTATTACATTCAACGCACGATACTTAAAACGAGTACTGTTGCCACCATCATGCCACCCCTCAAGATATACCTGTTGTGTTTTCCATATGGAAATCCCAAACTTTGACAAAACCTGTACTTGTTAAAATATACGGCAATTGTAAGACATGCTTTTGGATGGCCGGACAGAAATCTTCCCACGTTGAACTGAAAATTAATTCTCCTGTGTGTTGTGTTCATAAAGCGATTACTATCTAGCTGTCGAAACGCACCTTGAGGACATATTTGTACTTTTAATTGTAGATTGTGCCCCGAAACGAGCGAATCCGTGTTTTGAAATGCACTGGTAACCAGTAGCAATGATAACGTTGGCATATTCACTCGATATTTCTGGCATCTAATGTTTTTATATCACTTGACACTAAATGCTGCTATGTGTAAATATCTGTCCATGTTAAGCTGAAACCATACTCGTGACATATAGTGTAAATACGCCTGGATGTACATTTGCATATTAGGTTCCAGAAGACTGGCAGTTCAGCAGAGTTCTAAAATATACTCGCTGTGTGTTTTAAAATATTCTCTTTATGAATGTTTGAAAAAGTCGGAGGAGAATAAAAATCCTGATTTGTAATCGTAACCTGTTGGGGAGAAAATATCACCTCATCATTGGAAAATTCCTCGCAATTTATGTTTGTTGTACCATGTACCATGACGTACCATGAATATCCACGATCAATGTTTGACACCTATCTACTTTTGTACAAAGTATTCTGTAGAGCAATAAACTCTTTGACACCTTCCTTAGTCTTAGTCGCATGTGTCCATGATTCTGATGTCTGTAAGTTAACATTTATTGGTAGTGCATTCACCATACGGCGTGATACGTGTACGTTCTGTGGAACACTGAAAAATACCCCCGTAGACTTGCTTTAAACTGAGCCTTTCATTGTCAGAAAACACGGCCATAAGTTTCGCGTGCCTATCATCCTTAGATTTAAGCAGACATGACGAGTCGATCTATATTCCTCCCTAATGAAGCAGTCTATGGCCCACAAGTCATCCTTATCCTGGGATAGTTACCACGAATGGTCCATATCTCTTCACAATGAAGCGGATCAACCCGAAATCCTGATAGATAGCCTTGGTTCCGACGGACACAATGTTGATAATAGGAACATATGTCTTCAACGTCTCAATCCTTTTCGCAATGAATTTGCCGAATCACACTCTTGGAAACGTGTTCCTATACATAAAAGTGTCAGGAGAATCTTAATAAAATATATAAAGAGATTGAATATATTGCTTTTGTTGAGTGTAGAAAGTTTAACCATAAAAATAGGTTATATCCAGCTATACTCTACAATGCGAATCACAAAAGGATTAGGGAAAGGCGTTGCGTCCTTTCCTACAATTATAGCTTCGAAGGTCTATCTGCCAAATTAGCTTTCCCATGAAATAGCTAAAAATTACCATGACTTGCATTCTAGTCTCCAGATATGCGAAGCACGATGTAACCTACATATTTGTATGTATGCGACTGGTTGGTAGCAGACAAAGGCCTAGCTCCTAGCAACGCCATACTAGCTGCAATGCTTGCGTGAAACTCTAGGTGACGCCTGTTTGTCTAGCCACACAGGCCCGCTGAAGCGACACAGGACAGGCCGTCGGCAACTGGTCACCCGTCAAACCTCTGGTTTTGTGGTGAATGCAAACTGAAGACAGAGAGAGAGAGAGAGAGAGAGAGTGATAGAGAGAGGGGG